GGTGGGGGGTGGGTTTAGGGAATGTGGGGCGGAAGTTCACTGAGAGGGGGCGGAGCCTCCTCTTCCCAAGTTCCGATCCCACCAGGACTGGATGGCGCGTGTCCAACTGGAGCTCTGCCACAGCTTCGTCGCTGTGCCCGCGCTTTTCGGGCGAGGAAGACCCTTCGGGGATGAGAAGAGGAGATAAGTATGTTAGCTTACCCTGGCTCGAATCTGGCCCCTCCATTTCCAGAATCCCAGCTCCAAGTGAGACCCTCGGGGAGAGGATGAAGACGAGTTTCCAGGATGTCAGAAAAACACGAAGGACGCTTAGGCCCTTTAGGAACGGGGCCTGGGGAGAGCCAATAAACTCAGTGCTGAGGGTCGGGAGAGAGGACGCCTAGGATCGAAACTAGAAGGGTCAGAGATCTAACACCTAGAAGATGGAATCATAACTCAGGAATTAAAATGACTCTGAAATTGGGACCGAAAAGCCCAGATATCCGAAAGGGGCCAGCAGGCCTCATGCTCTAAGGATCTGGGAAATCCAGGAGCTTTGCCATGGAGCAAGTTTGTACTACAGATCCTGGACTAGCTGGAACTCGGACGGCAGAGGCCGGTGGGCGGGAGGAGTCGTGAGACTACAAGTCCCGGCCTGTCCTGCGAGTCGGAAGGGTCAGGCCTGAGTGGGAGCGGCCCAAGACTACAGATCCTGGCATGCCCTGGGACTCGGAAGGAATAGGCTGTGTGGTAGGCGTTCTGGGACAAGGAAGGGATGGACCTGGCAGGAGGGGTGGCTACACGCCCTCAGGTCCTGGGACTACAGGTCCCAGCACGCAGTAGGCTGGTGCTCACCTTGAAGGAGTCCACGAACTCATCGCTCATCCTCCGGAGCTCTCTGCCATAGCGCTGTGCAGCCCAGAGATTGGGAGGCGCTGAGCGTGAGCGGCCCCGGAATGGACTGGGCTCCTCCTTCATCCCCGCCTCCTCCTCCATCCCCGTGGGGTATGAGCTGTGGCGACTCCGGGTCTCCGTAGCCCCAGTGCCTGCAGAGAGGGTCGGGGCAACAGGAATATCAACTCCTCTGCGCCTCCAGCGCTGCCTAACCCCTTTCGTAGGTAATTAAATGTCTCGCTAATGTCTGCTTACATCCTAACGTCAGTACATCACAGTTGGCATCTAACAGCCCAGTTCCCTTCCGTATAAACAGTGGGATTCTCGGGCCTTTTGTGAAGAATCAATCGAGTAAATTCTCATTAATTCCACAAATCCCCATGAGTGCCAACAGTAGACAAGGTCTATAAAATGGCGCTCCACTGTGGGTGACACAAAATAACATTAAAGAATATAGTAATCAGCTGGGCGTGGTGACGCACACCTGTTATCCCAGCACTCCAGAGGCTGAGGTAGAAGAATCGCCACAAGTTTGAGGCCAGCCTGGGCTACATAGTGGGTTCTAGGCCAACTTGAACTACGTAGTGAGACCCCGTCTCAAAAACCCCCAAAACAAACGAACAACAACAAAATAGTTGTAATCATTAATGTAAATCATTCATGGGGTCTCCCGGCAGCCCCTGCATAGGGCAGTGTCCCTCCAGCTCTGCAGGTTGTCTGCAAGGCCCTGTGGAACTAACTGGCAGCAACATTTCTGCATCCTTCCCCTGCTGTGGAATGCCCAAAATTGTCGACTTTTTTTTTAGGTGCCATTTCTGGAGCACTTCATATGTGCTAAGGCTTAGGCATTCCTTCATTATCCTCCTATCCAGGGAGGTGAGTACTGTACTACTATAGCTTCCACTTTACAGATGAGAAGACAGAGGCTTTGGGAAGTTAAGATTTATCTGGGGTCACACAGCTGTGAAGCCCTGAGACTGGAAGTCCCCAGGTTTGGTGGAATACATGGTCTATGGGGGATGCGAACCTTTTCACTTGCCCAACATCCTTCAGGTCCTACTCCAGTTTCATTCCCTACATGAGGGGGATAATCCCAGCCCTCACTGGCAGCAGCATGTAAAGGTCACATCAAAATAAAGAGTGTAGAAGTGCTCTGGAGCTGCAGGTGCCCTGGAGCCATTATTCAGAAGCACCCCTGCTGGTCTGTGTGCCATCTCAGACTGTCAACTGCACCTCTCTTCCCAGACCAACAAAGACCTAGAACCATTCCTGTAACAGAGAAGCCAGAGACACATGCTCAGCATTCATTGCCAGGTGTGTCTGGCAGGGAAGGCTTTTTAGAGGAGGTAAGATTTAGGCCAGGCTTTGATGCCAGAGGATAACAAACAGAATCTCCTCAAATGAGCATAGGCAGAGCCCTGTAGGTCAGCAATAGCATGTCCAAAGGTGTCAGCTCTAGAAAGGCCTGGGTTAAGACAGTGTGGGGAGAGTGGAGCCACAAGCCCTCCAGACACTCCTGGCTTATGGTGGGAAATAGGTAGGAGTCAGGACTGAGGCTGGGGTCGGGGAGCCAGAAGTGAGAAGCCCTTACTAGGAAGGGGCTGTCTGCAGAGGTCAGAAGCTAGGTGGGCCCAACCATGTCCACATTCCTGCTTTGTGACCTTGGGCCACTTCTCCAAGACCTTGATGCCTCTGTCTTTCTCTGTGAAACAGGACAGTCTGTGAAACTGTCTCTGTGAAGAAACTGTGAAACAGTCATCTTGTCTGCCAGGATGACTACATGAACAAACGAGGGCAGACCACTGCACACCATTATGTACCCTGAGGCTTCCCAGCTCCCCAGCCAAGTAGGCACCAAATTCTATTTTGGAAGGGAGAAATTGAGACAGTCTCACTATGTATTCCAGGCTGGCCTCCAACTCATGACAGTCCTCCCAAGTGCTGGGATTATAGGTGTGTCCCACTACCCTCAGCTAAATTCCTCTATTTTACAAATGAAGCAGAGGCATTTCAGGTTAGGAATCTGAGTAATGCAGCCTTGGACTGTGGCCACCACCCAGCTGCTTGGGAAATGTCAGCTGATTTCTTTCTCTGAGAAGCCACAGGACCACTGCAAGGCCCCAGTGTGAAGGTGAAAGATTTGAAGGTGGGTTCCTGCTCTGGGTCCTGCCCTCTCCAAGAATTGAAAACAAAGAGGGCTGGGGGCGGGGGTAGCTCAGCAGTAGAGCACTTGCCTGGGGAGATCCCCAGTACCGAAAAACAAAATAAACTGCATTAATGCATTTAACCCTGACCTCACATTATCAGGGCGGTTCCTCATGGTTACCGTTTGACAGAGTAAACTAAGGCACAGAAAGGTAAGTCATTTGGTCAAGGTCACAAAATAAGTGATAGAAATGGGATTCAAACCAACCAGTCTGCCCCCAGCTACTACCTGCTTAACTCACATGCCCCAAGCTCTGGGGTCCCAGTTTGGGGAAAGCCTCCCTTAGGCCCCCTGCTGTGCCAGCTCGCCCAAGAGCCTGTCCTATGGAGCAGAGGTTTATCACCAAAGCCTTGGATTTAGCAATGGCAAGCCATCCCATCATCAAAATGACACCCATTTTGTAAACTGAATTTTTGAGACAGGGTTTCACTATGTAGTTCAGGATGGCCTTGAACTCAATATAGTGCTCAGGCTAGCTTTGAACTTGAGGATATCCCTGGCTCAGCCTTCCCAAGGCTGGGATTACAGGTATGTGCCACCATACCCAGCTAAACTGAATTTTTAAAAGTATCTTTTTACTAGAAAAAAAGCTAGGGGATTTTCTATGAACTCCCAGGGGGAAGGGGATGGGCAGGGTGTAGCCTGGGCCATCCTGTCCCCTCTAGGGGCAGAAGAGAGGTCTGGCTCCTCTCTGGTGTGAGCCTGGGTGGGTACCCAGCCAGCTCACTCATGCCATCCTCCCAGAGTCTGGCCTGGGACTCGGGAGTGGGAGGTGACTATGGCCAGATGTGACCCAAGCCCTAGCAAAGCATCTTTAGTTTTAAATTCTTTACCCACCAGACTTCTGAGTAGGCAGGTGTGGCTGAACACACATCGCTGATGGCAAATCTTTTAGAGACCAAGTGCAGAACTGCAACCCTGAACCCACTTATTTATCACAAAGTGCCAACACTGCAATTAAGCCTGAATACTGAGGTTTTAGTTTAGAAAAACAACTCATACACTAACATCTTTTGTCTTAAAAGAAAAACACACACGCAAATACAATTAACATGTGTGCCATAGTTTTGCCACCCACCATTGACATATATCCAGCTTCAGGCATCTGAGAGCATCCTTGCATACTTAATTAAAACGGTGTGCTGGGCAGGGGGATGTAGCTCTGGCACCACACACAAGTGCAAGGTCCTGAGTCCAATCCCCAGTACCGCCCCCCCGAAAAAACCCCAAAAAGCAGTGGTGTGCTGGCCAGGCATGGCACAGGCCTGTAGTCCCAGCGCTCGAGAGGCTGAGGCAGGAGGATCGGCATTAGTTTGAGGCCAGTCTGGGCTACATAGTCAGCTCAAGCCCAGCCCAAACTGCACAGCAAGACCTTCTCAAAAAACAAAAACAAAACAATGGTGTGCTGGATGTGATGGCACCTGCCTGTAATCCCAGCACTTGAAAGGCTGAGACAGGAGGATCACCTCAAATTCAAGGCCAGCCTGGACTACATAGTGAGGTCCTGTCTCGAAAACAAACACAACAGGGCCAGGATTTAGTTCAATGTTTCCACTGCCTGCCTCACAAGCGCAAGGACTGGAGTTCGATCCCTGGTACCCCCCAAAAAGAAAAAACAAACACAACACACTTCAAAGCAGGGCAGACTGGATCCTGCCTCTGAGACCTGCAGGCCACACACACTCTGCCTGTCCTAGAGGGCAGAGCATCCATGGCATTTGTGCTAGGGCCTGCCCTGAGCTGTGGCCTTAACTAAACCCATTTCAGCCCCTCTGGGCTGACAGAGAACATCCCCCATCCTGCTCAGAGCTGAGGAAATCAGAAAACAAGGTTGGCATGATGGCACATGCCTGTAATCCTAGCATTCTGGGAAAGTGAAGCAGAAGGACTCCAAGTTCGAGCCCAACCTGGGCAATTTAGTGATTTATCGAAACGCTGTCTCAAAATAAAAAATATAAAAGGATTGGTAATGTAGCTCAGTGTGAAGGCCCTGGGATATATCCTCAGTACCCATAAAAGAAAAAACCCCAGAATGGTGGTGCACATTTGTAATCCCAGCTACTAGGAAGACTGAAGCAGGAGGATGGCAAGTTTGAGGCCAGCCTGGGGAATTTAGCAGGACTATGTCTCCAAATTTAAAATTTTTATTTTTTATATTTTGAGGGTTTTTTTGAGACAGGGTCTTGCTTTGTAGTTCAGGCTGGCCTTGAACTCACCATGCAGCCCAGGCTGGCCCTGAACTTGTGGTGATCCTCCTGCCTGGGATTACAGGCATGTACCACCACACTCTGCCAAAAATTTAAAATATTTTAAACTGAAGCCTGGCGTGTCCCAGCATTGAGGCTGTCAGGAAGATCATACCAAGTTCAAGGTCAGCCTGGGTTACATAGTGAGACCCTGTCTCAAACGCCAAAAACAAAAGGGCTGGGTAGTCTATTTTTATTTTATTAATTAATTAATTAATTAATTTGTTTTTGGTACTGGGGATCAAAGTCAGGATCTTGTGCTTTTCAGGCAGGTGAGGCAGGTGAGGCAGGCTTTGGCACCACTGAGCTAAATCCCCAGCTGTGTAGTACATTTTTAATTTAAATTGTTATCAACAGTGTTTCATTTAAGATACATTATTGATATTTTATTAGAATTGGGCCAATTTCCCTATAAAACAGGATAAATGCAAGAGGCTGGGGATGTAACTCAGTGGCAGAGCACTTGCCTAACACAGATGAGGACTTGGCTTCAATCCCCAGCAATGCAAAAATTAATAGTAAGTGTCCAGGGGCCAGGGATTCAGCTCAAGTGCCTCACAAGCACCAGGTCCCAAGTTTGATCCCCAGTACCAAAAAAAGGTAAGTGTCCAGTGTGAAAAATGTTAGTTTGTGGTTGCTAATAAAATCATGCTATTTTGTGTAAGAAAAAAAAAAATGAGCCAGATATGAGATGTATGTCAGTGGTAGGCTGGTTGGCTAGCATGTGCATGGCTGGGAGCAGTGCCCAGAAGCACACCAACCAAATAAGCAAACAAACAAAAGAACATCTTTAGCTCATGAGTTGTGCCAAAGCAAAAGGATTTAGTCCGTGGCTGTGGTTTTCCAATACATTCTCTAAAACCCAAAAGCCTGTCTTCTGTCTTAAACCTTTAATGGCTGCTTTGTTCTACTTTATTGAGATAAAGTCCAAACTTCTTGGCATGGCCTTCAATGCCCTGACCTTTGACTCTAAACTACACTTCACTTGTCTGCCATCAAGGGCGCACATGGTGTTCATGTCACTGTGTGAATGGTGGCCCCTACCTGCTCACCACGAGCACCTTCCTTCTGCTCAGGGTCTGGGCCAACACCTATTGACAATAACAGTGACACAGTGACAGGAACAGCAGCCACTTCCACAGCCCTTCCCCTGTGCCAGGCACTGATTCAAAGTACTTTTCCATGCACTAGTCAGTCATCACTGCCAGCCCCTGCACTGGGACCACTTCTACGCCATTTTCTGAATAAGGAAACTGAGGCAGAGTGAGTTAGCCTCTGAACTTGCTCATGAAGGGCAGAGCTGCACTTGAACCCTGTGGTCTGGCCCAGAGGCCAGCACCCAGATGTTTCTCCCATTGCACACCCTTCCCTAGCTCTCAGTGTCCACATCTGTCCCTTGGGCTGTCATGGCCTCAGGCTGCTGTTCCTGCCCCAGGGTTGTGTATAGTCCAGCAGGGGGCAGAGGACAGCAAGCGTGACCAGATCAAGCAAGCATGACCAGATCAAGCAAGCATGGGAGGAGGCTGCACAGCACTGGCAGGTTACAGGTAGAGATTACTCATGTAACCTACTTGTTTAATGGCTGTTTGGACTTACCACACACTGCTCAGACTTACAACCTGTCTCCTGATTTTTATTTATTTATTTTTTTTGGTACCAGGGATTGAACTCCCGATCTTGCGCTTGTGAGGCAGGCACTGGAGCCACTGAGCTAAATCCCCGGCCCTGTCTCTCTTTTTTTGATACAGTTCTGTACATCTTATTTATAGAGCCCCAATGTCATTTATTTATTTATTTTGAGACAGGGTCTCAGTATGTAGTTCAGGCTGGCTTGAACTCACTCTGTAGCCCAAGCTGGCCTCATACTCCCAGTGGTTCTCCTGCCTCAGCCTCCCAAGGCTGGGATTACAGGCATGCTTCACCACACCCAGCTTTTCAACATCTTTTTTTTTGGTATGTCACACCTTGTTTATAGGGTACTGTAATTTTTGCTGTTTGTACTGTACAGTACTATAGTTTTATGTTCTGTTATACATTACAGTACTACACATAAGAGTTATCAAATAAAAGCAAAGTCATTAAGTTGGAGTTTCCTTTGACCATTTTTTGGTTCTGAATATTGTAACGTAGATCCTATATACAATTCTACATTTGGCGACCAATTCATTTAATAATCTAGTCCCAAGAACTTCACTTGGCTATTAAACAAGGAATGTTATGCTTGCAGATCTTTTATAGGAAATCACTGGCTTTTAAGACCCTGAAAACGCTTAAGAAATCCTTGGGCTGGGTATTTAGCTCAGTGGCGCTGTGCCTGGTCCTGAGTTCCATCTCCAGTATGGCAGGGGCTGGAGCTCAGTAGTACAGCCATATATGTGAACCTCTGGTTTCCAACTCCAACAGCAACACCAAAAAATTAAAATATTTTGTTTTTGCTGGTTTTTTGAGACAGGGTCTTGCTATGTAGTTCAGGTTGGCCTTGAACTCACTAGCCTAGACTGGCCTCAAACTCAGTCCTCCTGCCTCAGCCTCCCCAGTGCTGGGATCACAGGCAGGAAAAAATAAAAAATTTAAAACAGCAATCCTGAGCTGTGCTTACCAATAGTGGGTATTTTCTCTATGCGGCCTTCTTTCCTGTGAGTCTGCAGCTGAACAAAGGCTCCTTGCTGCACCAGATGTTCTCTCTCCCTCCTCCCCACCTCTGGTTTAGAGCAGGCCTCTCAAGCTTCAGTCTCCTCTACCCCCAAGTCATGCCCCTAATTTGTGTGCAGCATTGGTCACATTCTCTGTCCTGCTCTCCACCACTACTGCTGAATGTCAGTGAAGGACCCCAGTGGGCCTTCTGCCTTCCGTAACTCCCTCTCCTGCCTGTATGACCATGTCCCACCCTTCTCAGACATTCATTTCCATGGCCATACTCTAGACCTTATCACCATCAAAGACTCCTACTCCGGCTTCCCACCCATCCAACCAAGCACCACTCCTACCTGTCTGATTATTCCCTTGGCACCTGACTCCAGGAGGCTGACTCCCCTGCCCTGGGGCTGTTCTCGCCAAGGCCAGGCCAGCTTACCCCACACCCAGCATTCCTCCTTGCACTCTCACTTTCCAGCCCTGGCCCTGGATGGGCTGAGACAAACATGGCTTTGGCCAACTCCCTGGCACTCCTCCCAGAGCCCACCTGGGAATCCCACCTGGTGGCCTAAAAGGCACCTCTAGACCCACGTGTCCCAAGTGGGCCTCTGATCATTTCCTACCCCTCTCTGTTCAAGGCCATTTTATCCTTCCAGGTACTTGGGCCAAATTCCTGTGTATCATCCTTCACAACTCTGTTCCTTGTATCCCACATCCAATCTATCAGCAAATCTTGCCAGTTTTACCCTAAAATAAATCCGAGGGGTGGGATATAGCTCAGTGGTAGCGTGTTTATCTAGCATGTCTGAGGACCTGGACTTAATCCCTGGTACCAGGGGGAAAAAAAAATTTCCTGGGTTTTTACTCAAAATCAAAGGTCTACAATGGCCTCTTAAGCCTTGTGCAGGCTGGACAGGGCTCTAATTACCTTCTTTACCTCACTCTCCTTGAGCCAGGGAAGCCTGGAGCAGTCTTGTCCTCCAGGCCTTCCCTTGCCTAGAACTCTCCTCCCACATGGATCAGAGTGGCTCAGCCCTTGGCCCCTTCTCCCCTTGGCTCCAGGGTTGCTTCTTACCAAGGCCCACCCTGATCACCTCAGTCACAGTCACCCCACCAGCCCTCAGGACTCTGATCTGAGCCCAGCCTGTATCATCTAATACATTCTATAATTTCCTTTGTTTTTTTTTTTTGAGACAGGGTCCACTATGTAGTTCAGGCTGGCCTTAAACTCTCAGTTATCCTCCTGCCTCAGCCTTCCGAGTGCTAGTATCACAGGCATACTCCAACACACTTGTTTGTAATTTCCTTTTGTGTTTGTTTATGGCCTTTCTCTTCTTATCTCACTAGAACATGTAATCTCCACAGGGCAAAGATTCTGCCTTTCTGTTCCTGATGTCACCTGAGCAACTAAATGTAGCACATATTCAACACTTTCTAGGAAGAGAAGTAAGTGCTGAGGATAGGGAGGCACTGCCAGGTAGGGATGGAGAGCAGCTAGAGTGGGGAACAGGTGGAGGGAGGTGGAGAACAGATGGAGACCAGGTGGGGGTAGAGAGCAGAAAAAAACAGCAAACACCAAATCTGGATGTTAAAGTGTACATCTAAGACAGAAATAGGGAACCAACCTGGTAAGCCTTCTTACTCCCAAAAATGAGGAGGGGGTCATTTATGCTTCCTCGGGCCAGTGACATGACCTAGTTTTGCTTTTAGAAGATCTTTATAGTTGTTCTAGGCACCAAGGCCTGGGCCAGGCCTGAGAAGGTGGAGACTAGGGAGGAATGGCCGGTGCCCAAAGTGCCCACTCCTCCATCTTGGCACCTGTGCTTCCCAGCTTCACACTAGCCCACCACCTGGAAGAGGTACCTGGCACTTGTGGTCATCTGCCTGCAAGGACAGCCCCAATGTGGGTGCCATAGAAGGATAGAGAACAGCTAGGTGTGGGAGTGCACACTGTAATCCCAGCACTCAGGAGGATGAGGCAGAAGGATGGAGCTGAGTTCGAGGCCAGCCTGAACTACATAGAAAGACCCTGTCTCAAAAAAAAAAAGATAGAAAACAGCATATAGCTGAGAGGCTGATCCAGGGAAGAGATCCCCTGGGGCAGGGAGTCTTCCAGCCTAGCTCCTATGTGGGCAGTGCTTAGCATGTGTGACCTTAGGCAAATCACTTTCCCTTTCTGGATCACTATTCTGCACCAACTGGCCTGGCACCTTTGAGCATTACTATGTACCAACTCTACAATTAAGTGTTTACTTGATTATTCCTTCTAATTAGCCCAATAATCCTATAACGGTGGTGATGAATTTGCTTTCAGAAGAGGACACTGAAGCTCAGGGAGGTTAGGGACTCCCCCAAAACCTTTAATGAGTGTGGATGCAACTGGGGTGCAAGAAGTGACTGGGCCGAGGGGAAAGTGGATAGGAAAGAAGGTGGTGGCAGTGGTGGGGATCCTACCTCCATGGTGTCTGCTGCTGATCAGCTGCCTCTGCTGGTGACTGATGTCTCCCAGGAAGCCTCCTGGTGAACTGGGGCCTAGCCGGTCCCCTGTGGGGGTGGGGCCCAGGGCCCTCTCTTCGGAGCTGGAGTCTTCCTGCTCACTTGGCTCAAACTCTGGGATCTGGAACATGCTCTGGGCTGTGGGGACAAGACAACAGGTAGTGAAGGAAAAACCGGGACAAAAAGTGGCTGTGGGAGGCAGGAGACAGGTATCCTGGCCCCCTCTGTTACCGGAGGGCTCCCAAGCCTGCCCTTTCTCCAGGCCCACATCTATCTGCTGCATCTGGGTGGGTAGGGAGCTCAGGTTGTATGCATTGGCCCAAATTTTTCCCTCAGGGCCCTGGTGTCCCGGGATCGCCCCAGGACTCCAAACAGGCCCTAGCCCGACCAGCCCTGCCCATAGTGGCGGCACACAAGTCTCACCCCAAGCCCGATCTCCAGGCCCCTGACCCGGGCCCGCCGCCTCCTTTTAGTACTGAAGGTGCCCAGCCCTAGTTTCCTGGGCAACGCGAACTGTCACCGATCCGGACCAATCAGCTCTGCAGATGAATCCCGGGTTGGCCCGGGGGCGGGGCCACCCGAGCGGGACCCGCCCCCAACGCAGCCCTGACTCAAGTCTCCGGATCCCCAGCTCCAACTTCCTTAGAATCCTTCGGCATTTGTAGGAGCGGGTGAGGGGTTCTCTGGAGTCCGCATGTGGAACCTAGAGGACTGTTTCTGCTGACGAGTCCTTCTGAGCCTTCGTTTCTTCTCCAGTAAAATGGAGATAATGACGACTCCCTCGGGAGCCGGTGAAAACTTTGTAAACAGTGATGATTACTGTGGGAGAAAGCACTCTGAAAAGCCGTAATTGACCTTCAGCCGTCGGATGCAATCGCTGTTGCTACTGTAATTGCTCCGCCTGGACCGGGTGACCCGGACCGGGAAGTCCTATTCCCGCGAGTGGCGGCCTAGCCTCGCGCTGCCCGCCTCGCCTCGGGGACCCCTCTTCGCGCCACTTCTGCTCCCCTCGAGATAAGAGGGCGCCTCTGCCCTGGCAGGATGGCTGCCCGGATACGGGAGGGGGACAGGGTCCTCTGTGTAAGCGAGCCTTAGTGCTCCGCTGTGGGCCGGTGACCGGCCAGGTGAGCAAGGTTGGCGGGATGGGGGTAGGGGCTGGGGTCGGTACAGGGGACTTCCGGCTCAGACCTGGGGGCGGGGTTTGGGCGCCATCTTGGCTGTGGGCGGAAGTTTCCTTCAGAGACCGGGTGAGGGGAAGCAGTTGCCGCCCCCATCCGGGCAGCTTGATATCAATTTGGGGATGGGGGGGGTCTAAGAGTGGAACTTGGCAGCCTCCCAAACAAGGAAGGCCCGGCGGCCTAATCGGACTCCCGCTGGATAGGGCACAGCCTCCGCGTCTCGGCTGCCTGCCAGCCCCGGTAACCCACGGCGCCCGCCAGCGGCGCAGATCCCGCCTATTCTTGAATGGTCTCACGCCGGGCGCGGTGCGTGGCTGCGGAGTCCGGGCCAGCCCCTGCGCAACTTGCGTAGCAAACGGTGCCCGCGCAGGCGCAGGAGGGGCTGAACCAGCGGGAGCCGGAGAGCTGGAGACTGGAGTCGGGCTACCAGAGCCCGCTTCTCCAGCTGCGGCCTGAGGAACTGTTCATCGGCCTCCTCCAGCCTCCCGCCCCTCGCGGCTTGAGGGTGGATGCAAGGGGCGGGGGGGCAACGCTTGGAAGCCGGAGGACAGAGGAAGAGGCCCCCCCGGAATATTGGAGGGGAGAGAGCCCCAAGCTTGGGGAAGGGGAGAGCCGGGCGTTGGGCGTCCCCTCAGCGGCCACTGCTCCGAGCCAACGGGCATCGGCTGGCTCTCCCCCTCCTGCCAGGCTGAAATTAGCGACCGAGGCTCGTCTCCTTCAGCCTCTCCATCCCTTCACCCCTTGGCTGTGGGGGAGTCCTCAGGAGGTTCATCCCTAAAACCCAACCCCATCTGCTTAGGAGAGGAGAGATTGCCCTTCCACACGCCCAAGTGAGGGGCCTAGGGCCTAGGCTGCCCGTGTCCCCCAAGGGCAAGGATCTCCCTTTTGAGGAGGAAGGGCCTGGCCAGCCACAACTTCTTTCCTCCTGAGTTCCAACCCCTCTGTATTTATTTCCCTGGCCCCCAGCCAGCCCATCTCTGTCTCTGGTGTTTAGGTCTCCCTCCCTGACATGGAGAGTAACCTGTCTGGCCTGGTGCCTGCTGCTGGGCTTGTGCCTGCACTGCCACCTACAGTGACCCTGGGACTGACTGCGGCCTACACCACTTTGTATGGCCTGCTCTTCTTCTCTGTCTATGCCCAGCTCTGGCTGGTGCTTCTGTATGGGCACAAGCGCCTCAGCTATCAGACGGTGTTCCTGGCACTCTGTCTGCTCTGGGCCGCCCTGCGCACCACCCTCTTCTCCTTCTACTTCCGAGATACTTCCCGGGCCAACCACCTGGGGCCCTTGCCCTTCTGGCTTCTCTACTGCTGTCCTGTCTGCCTGCAGTTCTTTACACTGACGCTCATGAACCTCTACTTTGCCCAGGTAACTGTGGTGATGGTTGGGGGTTGGTGGGGAAGAAGCCCCAAGGGCCCAAAGGAGTGATGGGCATCTCTGCTCCCAGGTGGTGTTCAAGGCCAAGGCAAAGCGTCAGCCGAAGATGAGCCGAGGCCTGTAAGTACTTGGGATGCTGGTGGGGTCAACAGTCTGGGGCAGAGAGCAGCCCACCTTGTAAGACTGAGACAAAGACAACCCAGCCTGGGATTTAGCTCAGTTGTTCTGCCCCCTGTCTCCCAAGTGCAAGGTCCTGAGTTCAATCCCTTGTACCAAAAAAAAAAGTGGGGTGACAACCCAGGAAATGTTTGTGAAAGAACTTGGAAAAGATAAAGCACCTGGCGCAGATGGCTCAGCAGAGACATTGCCCACATGAGGAGCAACAGTAATAGAAACTGTCCTGATACTTTGAGGGAGAGGGTGCCAAAGTCATCTGGGATGGAGAAAGAGCAGGAAGCTGCAGCCCATGGAACTTACTGAGCTCACTGTACTTCTTGATGACCTTGGGCTGCAGTATCCCTGTCATTTACATGGTGTCTGCTAGTTTATAAAGAGCTTTCACAAGCATCTTTCTTCCTTTTTATAACTCATCTGAGAGGCTATTCTTACCTTCACTTGAGTTATAAAGAAACTGAAGCCCAACAAGGTAAGGCAACATGTTCAAGGTCACAGAGGTGGCAGGAGGCAGAACCAGGACTCAAACCCAGATTGCTGACTCCCAATCTGGTGATGTTTCCAGCTGTCAGTCATTGTACCTCTTTGGACCTCAGTTTCCCCACCTATAAAACTGGAGGAACAGGGTTCAGACTGGACAATCTGAGTTCTCACTGACACTGAAGTCCCTGGGAGAGGGAGGGTGGTTAGTGAGTGCCAAGAGCTATCAGTGCTCTGGGGCTGATTGTGCTGTGGGCTGCAGGCTGGCCGTCCGAGGGACCTTTGTGGGGGCCTCGCTGCTTTTTCTGCTGGTGAATGTGCTGTGTGCAGTGCTGTCCCGCCGGCGACGGGCACAGCCCTGGGCCCTACTGCTGGTGCGCGTCCTGGTGAGCGACTCCCTCTTCGTCATCTGTGCTCTCTCTCTTGCTGCCTGCCTCTGCCTCGTCGCCAGGCGGGCTCCCTCCACTAGCATCTACCTGGAGGCGAAGGTAGGGCTACAAACCTTGATGCCCAGGTGTTACGGGGATCTTTGGACAGCAGTCTTAAGGTCATAGAGGAAGCTGGGAGGCTCCTCTTCCTGAGGGTCCTCTGTTGTCATCTGTGCCAGGGGACCAGTGTGTGCCAGGCAGCTGCCATAGGTGGCGCTATGGTTCTGTTGTATGCCAGCCGGGCTTGCTACAACCTGGCAGCCCTGGCCTTGGCCCCCCGGAGCCAGCTGGATGCCTTTGATTATGACTGGTACAACGTATCTGATCAGGTGGGTAATTGGCATGTCTGCCACTTACTTAGCTATAATGTCCGGCCCCCAGTTGGTCTGCGGCCTCCCAGCACCCCTGTGGCATGATTGAAGACTGGCATGAGCCTTTGCTTTCCCCCAGGCGGACTTGGTAAATGACCTGGGGAACAAAGGCTACCTGGTATTTGGCCTCATTCTCTTTGTGTGGGAGCTGCTGCCCACCACCCTGCTAGTGGGCTTTTTCCGGGTGCACCGGCCTCCGCAGGATCTGGTGAGGACCTCTGCCCCACTTCTGTGGGGCCAGGGGATAGGCCTGGAACCTGGGGATCCTGGGCTGGGCTCCTGGGACAGTTCAAGGGGGCAAGAGAAAGCATCGATGGCAATCATTCCCCCTTTCCCCAGAGCACCAGCCATATCCTCAATGGGCAGGTCTTTGGCTCCCGTTCCTATTTCTTTGATCGGGCTGGGCACTGTGAGGATGAGGCCTGTTCCTGGGAGCACAGCCGGGGAGAGAGCACCAGGTAGGAGCCCAATACGCCTTAGGATCTCTAGGCTCCTGCCTGGCTCCGTCAAGCAATGGGGACTGGGAGCTGGGTCCCCCTGCCTTACCCCCACCCTACCATTTGTCTCCCCATCTGTTCAAGGTGAGGTCCCCTCTGTATTTCTATTGTTAAACCCCTGCCCCATGCCCCAGATGCAGTCTGCCCTGGACCCAGGAAGTCTGAGTCATGGAGGCCTCTATTAGAAGCCTCTCTTCCTCCCCTGACTCTCACGAATGTGACCCTGGTCACTGCCCTGAGACTGACCCTGCTTCTTTGCCTGCAGCATGTCGGGCAGCCTGGGCTCTGGCAGCTGGTATGGTGCCATCGGGCGTGAGCCGGGCTGGTGCGGGGGCAGCCAGACGAGGACCACTCCTCTGCTCTTCTCCCAGGTGCCAGGACCGGGTGGCCACCACCACAGCCTCTACTGTACCCCACAGACGTGACCCCCTCTCCACTACCCTCCCCAGAACACCCAGACCCAAGTTCCCCTTGGCCTGGCCTTTGTGCCAAGTTTATCTGCCGCTTCTTGACCAGGATCCTGGGGGCGATGGCTGCCCACTCCTCTAGCCAGCCCCTTGCTGCTCCTGTCATAGTGAGCTTGTGCCACCTTCCTAAGATGGGGGCATGGGCCTCGCTGCCAGATGCCCACTGTGCCCTGGCATGACCTACCACCTCTGCTTCCACACTGGAGCCAGCTACCTCCTGTGCCTGCCACTCAATAAACAGTGTCTGTGCCCTGGTCTATTCACCTGTCTGTCGCTCATCTGCTTTGTGTTCCTCTCCTCTCTGCCTCAGACTGATCAGACATTGACACTGGCCTTTGAAGTAGGCTGCTGGGCTAGGCAAGGACCACTTGCCCACATTAGGGCTGGAGGGCAGGGAGAGGGGACATGCTATCTTCCCGGAAGAGAGGCTGCACAAGCCTATGTTCTCAGATATTCTTTGTTCTCACTTGATCATCATAGCCCTGCTCTTTTTTTTTTTTTTAAGACACAGTCACACTATGTAGTCCAGGGTGACCTTGCATTTACAGTGATCCTCCTGTCTCAGCCTCCCAAATGCTGGGATTACAGGCTTGTGCCACCATGCCCAGCTAATAGGCTTGCTCTTATGCCACATCTGCTCTCAAAATACAATTTCTAGTCTTTTTCCCAAGATCTCTATTTTTTTTCTTTTTTAAACCGGGTGTGATGGCGCATGCCAGAAATCTTAGCACTCAGGAGGCTGAGGCAGGAGTATCACTGTGATTTTGAGGCCAGCCTGAACTATATAGTGAGACCCTATCTCAAAAAAAAACCCCAAAGCTGGGGATTTAGCTCAGTGGTTCTGGCGTCTGCCTCGAGAGTGGAAAGACCCTCAATCCCCAGTATAAAAAACCAAAAAAACCCAAAACAAAAAAACTTTTTTTTTTTTTTAATAAAAGAGAAGGAATCTCCCTATGTTGCCCATGTTGGTCCTGGGCTGGCTTCAAGCAGTCCCCCTGCCTTACCCTCAGCACATGTAGCTGGGACTACAGGCCTACTGTGCCTGACCCAAAGTCTACCTGCCCTGGTTCTCGGGTTAACTCAGTGATAGAGCTCTTGCCTGATGTGCACAAGATCCTAGGTTCCATCCCCTGCACTCGGGGGAAAAAAATCACCTCTTCTATGAAGTCTTTCATCTCGTGCAGCACACTGTGACCCCTCTTCCTGGGCCCCATGGCACTGTGATTATGTGGCTCTTAGGCATTTTAACCTGAGCATATTGGGCTTTGGAAAGGCTTGGTTTTCTTGTCAATATCTCTAACCTGGCCTTTAGGTACCAGGGGTCACTGAGGGCCTGCAAAGGAGGTGTTGATGTAGCAGGGAGTAGCCTAGTCTCCTGACGAAGGTGTGAGCTTGCCTAGATGGGTGCTGTGTCTGCTTTATTCTGAGGGGCCCTTTCGGTGGCTGCCCCTAATAGCACAGTCAGTGCCCTATGCTTCTGTCACCCTGGCAGATCTGGGAGGTGTTTATCATAGCATCTGATTCCTACCCACATCCCTGGGAGTTCCAGCACTGGTCCCTCGAGGAAATCCTCTGCTTGAGACCATTCTGGGGACCCAAGGAAAGGTCATCTGTGATGCAGAGAACCAGTTTGAGGCTGGACAATCACTTTTCATTGAAAGGAAAGTTGCTAACATTTGTAGGGCATTTAATTGTTCGTGATAGGCTGTGTTTTGAGCATTTGTAAACACTGACCTCTTAAGTGCCTTGAATGTTACCTGAAGTGATAATTAATTATACTTTTTCTTTAAGTGGGAACAGGAAGACCTCAGAGATTGAGAATCTACCCAGGCCCTCTACTGGTAGGAGGTGGTAGCTTTATAGCCCAGGTTAAAAACCTCCTGCCTTGAGGGCTCAAGGACCCCAGGAGGCAAGAGAAGGGTCTTTGGTGAGATCAGAGGTTGTTAAGTGGGTGAGAGCAGCACGGGTTGGTTTGGAATGGACCTGGGTCTTGCCTGTTTTGGCAGCAGGGAGAGAATGCTGGCACCAGTCCGACCTAGACCTCTGAGGCTGATTCCTAGGCCTGGGGGTGAGGACCAAAGGCTGGGGACACGGGAAGAGGGTCAGGAGGTGCTCCAGCATTGACTTCCCAGACCCGGTCCCAGCACCCACGGTTGGACAAATCTAGATGCCCTGGAGGGATTCTCTCCACCCCTTTATCATCCCGAGGGGCCCCTCCCTCAGTGTGAGCCCAGGGGCCCGGCTGTCCCGGGGGAGGAGAGATGAGGGCCCTTCCCAGTCCTGTAATGGGCCTGGACGATGCCAGGAGATTAGCGTGGTCCCTGTCGGGAGACGTGGGGCAGCAGATGCCCAGGCTGGGGCCGTGCCACACAGGGCTCCGGTCAGAGACTAGAAGGTTAGAACCAGCGGCGATCTGGCTTCGGCTCCTCTTCGACCTGCGGACCCAACGGAGAGACCTGCGGCCTCAGGTAAAGGGCTTGGCGCTAGCGAGGTGGCTGGGGGTGCTGGCAGCGAGGGCGCGGCACCGGAGGGCTGCACGGCGCTGCAGGGGTTAAACCCGGGAGAAGGGGAGTTCTGGGAGGGGGTCCCAGCCCTGGTGGCTGCCCGCCCCGCCCCTGTTACCACCGCCTCCACGGCCCAGCGGGCACCTGGAAGGCGGCGGGAGCCAGACGGCAGCCGAAGCGCAGTGCAGCCGACAGTGAGTGCCGGGCGGGCTCAGGGACAGGGGCACCGGCCGGCCGGGGTCGGGGCGCGGGGAAGGCCAGGGAGGACGCTCATCCCCCAGCGCGTGGGCGTCTCCCGTAGTGGAGCAGCCGCTAGTCCCACCGCCCGTCACGCTCCGAAGCGTCGGCTTGGGGAGCGGTAGCAGCGAGTGGCTAGGGTGCGGCGCGGTGGCCCTGGGGTTTGAGGAATGTGCACGTACGTGTGCGTGGGCCTCTAGGTGCCGTAGCATGGCTGGCGGGCTCTTGGGGATCCCAGGGACCCAGGTCTGTGGGAGCACGCGGGCGGAGGGTGTATCTGCAGCCAGGGCGTGGGGCAGCCGCAAAGTGCAGTGTGGGCGCGCGGGGGGCTTTGTGCCCGCGCGTGTGTCGGAGTGTGTCAGGGCCTGTGGACGAGTGTGTATGCGCGCCTGTGTGTGGGCGACGCCTTCCGCTGTCCTAGGAGCTGACAGCTGTCCTGGGGGCTGCTTCACGGGGTCGGGCCCTTCCTGCCCCTCCTTATGGAAACCCAGCGCCCTCCGCCTTCCCTGCGCCCTGGCTCGCCTTGCCCAGGATCAGCCCCAGGGTTCCTCGAAAGCCTGACAGGGCACCTGTCGGAAAGAGAGGGGGCGTCTCGAGGTTGCTGCCAAGCCAGCTAAGCCCCGAGCGAACCGGCCAGCCCTGTCCCCACTCTGCGCCCTCCATCCCTCCACTCCTTTTCCTCCCAGCGTTCCTCTCCCCACCCCCCTCTGAAGCCTTCCCAACACGCCCAGGCCCTGCACATTGCCCCGCTCCCCTTCCTCTCCTCAGCCACTCTCCTGCCTTTCCTTGCCCGGTGCCCTCTTTTCTTCTCATACCCCGGGGTCCCTGAGGGTCAGGCAGTGGAAGTAAGAGGGGTACCAGGTGTTCCCTGGCACCAAGTGTCCAGCCGGAAGGATGTGAGGGGGAACCTATCTAGGGATAGTATGTCTGGGGGCTCTGAGGACCTTGAGGTGTGTGCAGGGGATCAGGTGGAGGAGGGTGTGGGGTGTCAGGCCAGTTTATTGACCTCACCATCCCTGGTTCTGCCTACAGTGACCACTGCTCCCCAGGAGCCTCCTGCCCCCCCTCCACCTTCGGCAGGCAGCAACGGAACTGGCGGAACTGGCCCGGCCCCTGGGCGAGCCATGCGCAGCACCACCCTACTGGCGCTACTAGCCTTGGTCCTGCTTTACTTGGTGTCGGGTGCCCTGGTGTTCCAGGCCCTGGAGCAGCCCTATGAGAAGCAGGCCCAGAAGGACTTGGGGGAGGTCCGTGAGAAGTTCCTGAGGGCCCATCCATGTGTGAGCCAGCACGAGCTGGGTCTCTTCATCAAGGTGTGTGGGGCCAGTGGCCCTTCAGGAGTTGCCTATGTAGGCCCTGGACTGGGTGTTATTTCCAGACCAATTCCTGAGGACTGGGTACAGGAGAGGGGGTGCAGGGCAAGGGCTGGATCTAGGGCTCTTGAACCTGACAAGGTCTTTCTTTTTTCTTGCTATGCCTGACACCTGGCTGTGCTCCTGGAATGTTTCTATATAAGGGCTATGAAATGGAGGAACATTGAAAAAATGAATGAATGAATGAAGCACATGGCACATTACATTTTCACAGGTCTAACTCACCAGCTTAATTACCACAGAAAATCCAAGACGCCCAGTTACATGTGAATTTTAACTAAATATTTTTTTCTAAATAATTTTAATGCAAGTATTAAATGTCTTTGTTTGCCAAAGCTGGCAATACTTCCTACATTAGCTCCTATACATTTTTGGAGTCACAGATGCCTTAGAAAAACCCAAGAACACTGTGAAGAACTCCCCCTCCACACACCACGTGTGCATATAAGCATGTACAGATGATTTCAGAGCACTCCTGTCCAAGCCACCATGGATGCTAGGGTAGGGGACCCTCCCTCTCAACACATGCTTAACCAGGGAGGCAAGTAGCAGGTGGACAGGGACAGAGTGGGGCTCCTCTGAGCCACTTTTGGTCAACTTCCTTCAAGTCACTAAAGAGAAGTCCAGCCTTCACCTTCTGGGGTATAATCAGTGAGCACCTCTTGCTTTCTCTGATTTCTGAGTCATTGTCATATAAAACAGTGTGACTTAGGGCCAGGGATTTAGCTCTGTGACTGTGACCCTGCACCTGCCTCGCAAGTGCAAGGTCCTGAGTTTGATCCCCGATACAAAAAAAAAAAAAAAAAAGTCAGTATGACTTCACTTTAATCAATTAATATTTATGACTTTATTGAAGAATATCCCTGTTTCCTGCCTGTTCTTGCTGATAGGAAAGGCCACCAGTGTGGAAGCTTCTGTGTTTCAGCTGCTTCCCAAGGGAGCAGGACCTAGGGCAGAGATGAGAGTGGGATAAGGATCAGGACATAGACACCTGGTGTGTCTCTGATACTTCCAGAAAGCAAGAGGAGGCTCAGGGAGCCCTGGGTGGAAAGTGTGTCTGGCCAGACCACAAGGCAGAGAGAGGGAGGAAGTCTGACCTATTTTGTCTTCACAATGGGATTGCTTTTTTCCTGGATAAGAAGAAAAGGAGGTGCGGGACCTAAAAGGGTGGGGGACAGCTGCTTTGCTTCTCTTCCATAGTAAAAGCCATTCCCTAAATTAATTGTGCAGCAATTGTACATGTAAGTGCGGTGTGCTGGGGCTGTAGTGCTATATCCCAAGGGATGAATAGGTGATGGTTATTGAGGTGGGGCAGATGCAGGCTCTGTTTAGATGATGTCACATCTAGGTGAAGGGACAGATCTATAGACAGATCACTGTAGGGTGCTGTGGAAGAGGAGCCTCCTCTCCTTCTTTCTTTCTTTTTTTTTTTTTTTTCTGGTACTGGGGATTGAACTCGGGTTCTTGAGCTTGCAAGGCAGGTGGTGGAACTACTGAGCTAAAACCCCAGCCCTCTCTCCTTTCTTTATTTAGCATCCACTGTATGCTGAGCTCTGGGCTGGGTGGTAGGGATGAGGAAGGAAAGCTGGTAACTGAAATGAGGAGGGTATGAGGGATAGAGGTTAGAGACTGGGGACAAATGACTCCTGGGCAAAGGAACAGCATGGGCAAAGGTGTGGAAACTGGAAAGCTCTAGAGTGTTTGCAGAATCTGGACTTAGCAGATGCCTAGTCATTTGAAGCAGAAATTAGAACACAGGATGACAAAGGATTTTTTTCCTCCTAAGTAGTGAATTTATTGAAAAAGTGCTACAAAATAAAAATTAAATTACATTTAATCAGACATTTCATCTCTTGCCTTTATTAAAAATTGTTATTACAGGAAATGGAATCATCTTACAAACTTGGGGGGAGATTGCTATAACTCAGAACCCCCAGGAGAGAAGACTGGGGATAGGGAGGTGGGAGCAGCTTAGAAGAAGTCTTATGTGGGCCGGGGATTTAGCTCAGTGGTTCCGGCGCCTGCCTCGCAAGCCCAAGGTCCTGAGTTCGATCCCCGGTACAAAAAAAAAAAGAAAAAGTCTTATGTGCTGGAATGGAGAGTCTAGAGTATTCTCTAGACAGAAGGGAGCCTGGAGGGTTTGGAGCAATCCCTGGAGAAGATTAATTGGAATGTTTCATGCTAATAAGGACAGTAGTCAGAGAGAAAAAAGGTGGGTTATGATCTTCCCCACAGACTGTCCTTGTGCTCCTTGAGGAAGGGCCCCTCAGTAGATCCTCTTAACTCTCTTGACCTCCATCACCTATAATCCCAGGAAGTGGTTCAAGGCAGGAAGATCACAAGTTCAAGGCCAGTCTGGGCAACTAAGGGAGAACCTGTCTGAAAAACAAACAAACAAACAGGACTGGGGATGTAGCTCAGAAGTAGAGAGCACTCCTGGATTCAAGGAAAACAAAACAAAAAACACAGAACCTGCCTGAGGGACCTGCAGGCTGGGAAGAGGGGGCAAGCACATGGATACTTCATTCATTCAGTAATTCCTACTGAGCACCTACTATACACTGGGTTTAGCTTGGACTTTAGTGTGTGTGTGTGTGTGTGTGTGTGTGTGTGTGTGTGTGTATGTGTGTATGAACACCCTAAAACTGGATGCAAACTCTGATGATATTTGAACCTTTCTGGAAGAAAGTCCCCTAATTTTCTTTAGACTTCTAAGCCAAGGGACAACCAACTCAGTTTCCTTAGGAGCAGTGTGAATGGTGGAGTCTGTATAAATCAAGAAATCATAGGGTACAATTACCAGAACTTCCCTAACAAACACAATGCTTACTATGTTGTAAGTGCTTTAGCTTCACAACTGACCTATGAAGTTGGTGCTATACTCATCCCCACTTCACAGAGGCAGAAACTGAGGCAGAGAGTTAATTTAGTCTTGGTCACACAGCACCAAGATTTGAACCCAGGTGGTCTGGTCCCAAGAGCTGTGCTTTCTACTGTATAGTTAGAAATCTATTGTGTGGTGTTAGGGGGCAGATGACTGAAATGTTTCTGAAACATCACAGAGGTCAGACAAACTCGCCTGCAATGGATTGGGCCACCCAATTTGCATCTTTTGCTATAAGATGGGAAGGATGAGCCTAGAGGCTGAAAGGGCAGGAAGGACTCAGGTTCCTCCTTCTGTGCCTTGTCTTGCAGGAGGTGGCTGATGCCTTGGGAGGGGGTGCGGATCCAGAAACCAACTCCACCAGTATCAGCAACCACTCAGCCTGGAACCTGGGGAGTGCCTTCTTTTTCTCAGGAACCATCATCACCACTATCGGTGGGAGGGGAGATGGGACTATTGGAGGGGGCGGGGACAAGGAGTTTCCTTTGGGGGGAAGGTGCAGGGAGAGGCTGGGGTGCCAAGTAGCGCCTAGACTTCTGCACCACCCCTCTACCCAGGCTATGGCAACGCAGCCCTGCGCACCGATGCCGGCCGCCTCTTCTGCATTTTTTACGCACTGGTAGGGATTCCGCTGTTTGGGATCCTGCTGGCAGGGGTTGGGGATCGGCTGGGCTCTTCCCTGCGCCGTGGGATTGGTCACATCGAAGCAATCTTCCTGGTGAGCTGCTCTACACCGTGTGCTTTTGCACTGTACTGACGATGCCCTTCCCTAGGTCCCTGTCAAGTGACTGTGTACCCCTGGTGGGGCAGAAGCCTCTGTCACTAACTTGGGGTAGAGTGAGGTGTGGTGGCGGGAATGGGAGTGGAGGTTGTTAAGTGTTTCCTCTGTGGTCCTGCCTAACACTCCTTCCTGCAGAAGTGGCATGTGCCACCGGAGCTGGTGCGAGTGCTGTCGGCAATGCTCTTCCTGCTGATTGGCTGCCTGCTCTTTGTCCTCACGCCCACATTTGTGTTCTGCTATATGGAGGACTGGAGCAAGCTGGAGGCCATCTACTTTGTCATTGTGACACTCACCACCGTGGGCTTCGGCGACTATGTGGCTGGTGAGGCTGCTCTTTTTGGACTGCATGTCCCTATTTCATTGCTGTCCAGGGTCTCTCCCTCCAAGTTCCACCGTGGCACCTCTGCTCCACCTACATTCATCATGGAATGATTCCATGCATGCTTCTCCTCATGCACATGTACATGCTTGCATGCCTGCAGCCCCATGCATGCTCACACATATATTAAATGCACATCTCACACATATCACCTTCTTGCATGAGGGCACCTGCTCTTGCACACTCTGTCTTGCACACCTTCAACTCATGCACTGACCTTCCCGTACACACTCGTACATTCTAGCACAAGCCCTTTGCCCTGGAGAGGCAAAGCAGGAAGAGGGGCAGTGAACAGAGGGCTCACAGGCTTGGCATTCAATCAACTTCTTTCCTCCTTCCCTGGTGGCATCCCAGGGGCTGACCCCAAGCAGGAGTCTCCAGCCTACCAGCCGCTGGTGTGGTTCTGGATCCTGCTTGGCCTGGCCTACTTCGCCTCAGTGCTCACCACCATCGGGAACTGGTTGAGAGCTGTGTCTCGCCGCACACGGGCAGAGGTACGCGTGTTGGGGTTGATGCCGTGTGTGCGCTCTGGCGCTAATGTGCCCTGTTCCCTGAGCTGGTTGACCAGTCTGTCTCCTTCTAGAGTGTGAGTCTCAAGGCAGAGACTGAGGGAGACTTTGTGTCTGGCGTCTTCACCACCTCTGCCCTTATGGATAGGGTTATCAGATTTAGAACCTAAAAGCACAGAAAGCAAGCCGGGCATGGCGGCTCATAGGCCTGTGATCTTAGCACTCTGGGTGGCTGAAGCAGGAGGGTGGCGAATTCAGCCCAGCCTGGGCAATTTGGCGACTTAGAGAGACCCTGTGTCAAAATTTTAAAAATAAGTAATAAAGGGCTTGGGATGTAGCTTAGTGTGGAAGCCCTGGCTTCAATCCCCTCTACCAGGAAAAAAATGCAGAAAGTCCAGTTAAATGTGAATTACAGATGAACAACAAATAAAATTTTAGAATATGCCCTAAATGTTGCATGGGGCATACTTATACTACTGCGTCGCTTGTTATTTACCTGTTGGAAACACCCAGCCGGATAGAGGGAGCAGAGGTCTCAGGGCTGAAGTACAACCGGACTCTCCCAAGGGGGCACTTCCGCGGATGGAGGAGGGAAAGCGCGTAGCTGAGGGGAGACGTCTTTTCATTTTCTGGCCCACCAAGGCTGTAGGACCAGGCGAAAAGAAGGTGGACGACTGATCAGTGAAGGGGCAGGCTCCCGGGACTGTGCGGGGGGTCGAGGACCCCTGGTCGAGGACTCCTTTTCCTTCCCACGCAGATGGGCGGCCTCACGGCGCAGGCTGCCAGCTGGACCGGCACAGTGACAGCGCGGGTGACCCAGAGAGCGGTATCCACCGCACCTCCGCCAGAGAAGGAGCGGCCACCTCTGCCTCCCCCACCTTGTCCAGAGCAGCCAGTCAGCCTGCCCCAGTGCCCCCCACCACCGGAGAGGGTTGACACGCCTTCCCCGCCTACAGCCTCTGCCCTCGATTACCCGGGCGAGAACCTGGCCTTTATAGATGAGTCCTCAGACACGCAGAGCGAGCGCGGCTGCGGCCTGCCTCGAGCACCGAGGGGTCGCCGCCGTCCCAACCCCCCCAGGAAGCCTGCGCGGCCCCGGGGTCCAGGGCGTCCCCGAGACAAAGGCCTGCTGATGTAAGGCAGGACTCCCCAGCGGGGGCGCTCAAAGGATTTTGCTCCTGCTGTCTCCCTGGCACGCTTGGCTTGTTTGACCAAAGAGCCCTCTTTTGACGCTCAACTGAGGCCTAGGCAGAAGGCTTAGGGTCACCTACCCGCCACCTCCGGCCCCTGGCCCCTTCCTAACTTCCGCCCATTCTGTCGCGATGCCCTAGCGGGGCCTGTTCCTCACACCTCACTACTGTGCCTCAAAATCTGCATCAATAAATGAAAACACTGCACCTCTGCGGGCGTGCACGCTCCGGGACGCAAGCGGGTGTGGGAGTGCGTCCTTCAGGCCACCGCGGGGCCACTCCCATGCCCAGGGCTCCCAGGCCCCCACGTCAGTGAAGTCATGGCCCTCCGTCTGGAGGCCACCGGGTAGGGTCCACCGTCAGAATCAGCCATGATGTTTCCAACCTAGGCCTGGGTATGGGGTGGGCTGGGAGGGAGCAGGGACAGCTGTTCTTGAAGGTGACCCGCCCTTCCCCCTTCCCCTTTTGAAGCGCGAGCCCCTCCCTCTCCCCACCCAGGCAGCGCCTGGGTCCGTTAGGGCGGAACCATGGAGGAAGAACCTTTCAAAGTAAGGACCGGTCTGGCCCTTCGCTTGTCAGCCTCCGACTTCTTTTCCTTCCCATCCAAGCCCGTGCGGTAGCTCTCTTTCAGCCCTGGCTCCCGCAGCCCCCACTCATCGTCTCCAGCCTCCCCTCGCCCTGGTTCAGTACCCCCGCTCCAGAACCCCGCGACCCTGGCTTCCCTCCTTGTATGTGGCCCACAGGCGTCTTCAGACCACCGAAGCTCGGGCCAGGCGAGCGGGCACAACGGCCTTCCGAATGGGTGGACCCAGGCCACACCACCGCAGCCACGCCTGAGCATGCAGCTGTCCGAGGTCCACGGGAACTGGGGCCAGGAGGGCTACGGCACAGTCTACGAGACCTATGGGCGGAACAGCCAGCGGGACCTCCGGGAGGATGGTGACAAGTCCATTTCTCTGAGGGACAAGGACGGCTCTAAGCCAGAGGACCTGGACAAGCACACTCTGCTGGAGCTGGAACCGCCCTGCAGCAGTTCCCTGGGTATCCAATTAGGGGAAGTCGCCAGCGAATCCGAGATCAGGAACGGTTAGTGTGGCCTCGCCAGGTCGTGGGTGCCCACAGTACAGGTGACTGGCCAGGGCCTCACTTTCCCGTCTGTACAATGGGGGACGCCGATAGCATCCAAGTTTCTAGGATTGCCAGGGACGGCGTTAGCGCGGACCCTGCAAGCTTTCAATCAACCAGACATTCCTTGAACACCCCCTAGCGGGAGGGCGACTGCAATGTAAATAAGCCAGGGAGACAAATAGGAAAAACGTGCCGCGGCAGTGTAGAGATCTGTGCTTTAAATGGAGTCATGGAACCAGTTGAGGGGAGGGGTTTAATTCCGTGCCTCAGGATTGGCGCTGGTTGAGGGGGTTATTTTTCATTTAGTCAATCATTGTTTACAATCTTTTTTTTTTTTTTTGAGACAGGGTCTCGCTATGTAGTTCGGGGTGGCCTCGAACTCACAATGATCCTTCTACCTCAGCCTCCCTAGTGCTGGGATTACAGGCATGTACCACCACACTTGGCTCTTGTTTACAATTTTTTTTTTTTTTTTGGATCCAATTCGGGTCCTTGTGCTTTCCTGGCAGGCAGTGGAACCACTGAGCTAAATCCCTGGGCCCTCTTGTTTACAATTTTTAAGCACTTACTACAGTTTGGTGGGCACTGTTTGGTGGGCACCTTTCTTCCCTATCTTTTTGGTGATACTGGGAATTGAACCCAAGGCCTTCACAGTGATCTCTTTTTAATTTTTAATTTTTTTTTTTTAATTTTATTTTGAGACAGGGTCTTGCTAAGTCACTAAATTGCCCAAGCTGGGCAGCCTGAACTTTTGATCCTCCTGACTCAACTTCCCAGAGTGCTGGGGTTACATGTGTGTACTACCATGGCCAGTTCCTCTTTTCACTTTCATCAAGGGATTGGAACTGTTAATAATATCATAATTGGTACATACCAAGTGGTTGCTATGTGCCAGGAACTGAGCTTCTCTCCCTTACTTGGTCACCTTTAAGTTTTACAACCTCCACAAGAAGCCATTCTTATGACTCCATTTTACAGATAAAGAACTTGAGGGTAAGTCCTCAGTCACTAGGACTGGCAATAAAGTGCTGGACTGCTTGCCTACCATGCACTAAGCCTGTGCATGGGTTCCATCCTGGGGAGGGGGGGTGATAGGACACTTGTCACTGGACCTAAATCTCACATAGTGGGACAGCCAGAACTGGAACCCAAGAGTGTACCTACCATTTTTTTTTTTTTTTTTTTGGTACCGGGGATCAAACTTGGGTCCTTACGCTTGCAAAGCAGTTGACAAAACCACTGAGCCAAATCCCCAGCCCTGAACCTACCATTTTATACCGTCTCCAAATAAGGTAGCAGGTGAACCCCACTGCCTCCCACCACATGCAGCTCTGCTCCAGGGAAGACCTAAGAGGCCCCAGATGACTGATCTCTCTTTTCTCTTCTAGAAGAGCATTTCTCAGAGTCATTGTCTAGTGCCTGGGAGCATGCAGGCTTTCCACTCTATTTGGCAGAGCAGCAGAAAAAGGTTAGAGAGGCTGGGAGTGGTGGTGGTGGTGAGGCAGGGGATGGGCAAGTTGAGGGGTACAGCAGTAAAACAACAGTGGGGTTTTTTTTGGCAGAGTGGAGGGGCAGGTAGGCTCGTTGGGGGTCTTGGGGCTGCAGGGATCTGGTGGAACATTTCTTCTGTGGGAAGAACTGGGGTTTCCCAGATGCCTGAGCTTCTCAGTGTTTTTCCAGCTGCCGCTGCCCCTGAGGGAACTCATGGAGACTGAAGCTCTGGAAATCCTCACCAAAGCCCTCAAGAGTGAGCCCCCTCCCCCCAGCTTCTACAAAAGATCCCGGTGTATTTCACAGAGAGTGGGCCTGCAGGAATGGAGTTTCAGAATGTGTATCCCTTGTCAGATGGCCTTAGCACTCACAAATACTCCAAGGGTCCAACAGAAATAAGTTGAGAGACCAGGTTCAAAATGGGGAGAGTATGGGATGACAGGCCTCAGTGGAGATCCTTTCTAGGTGAGGTTTTAGGAGGGGTCTCCATTTGCCCAGTGGACGTAGCTTTGGCTTCCCAGGTGGGGGAGCTGTGAGGGATCAGTGGATTTAGGTAAATTTATTGGACAGTGGATTATTTGGGTAAATCATGATGTTCATGATGTGACATCCAAAGGGCTATATGAGTATTTAGAGTGGGTAGTCCAGGAGATGTCCACAAAGCTGCTAGCTCCACCCCGGTTCAGGCCGGTGGCACCTTCTCCAGCCCGGCCTCACCATCCTCCTCCACCTTCGCACTAAGCGGGGATCCAAAGTTCCCCAAACTTACACAGGCCCCAGCGCCCAGGGTGGCTCCCACTCCAAATCACCTATGGCTCCTTAAATCATACAGGCAGTACCCACTGTGGGGGAAGCCTTGCCGGTGCTCACTGGCCCAACTCAGCTCTGCTCTCCTCCCAGGCTACCGGTCCAAGATCGGCGAGAACCACTTTCTGACCAAAGAGCTGCAGCGAAGCGTCGAGGAGCTCCAGAGGCGCAGGAGGCTGCTCTGGACGTCTCAGTGAACCTCTGGGTCTAGCAGCGGTCGGACTCCGGCCCCTTGCTCCGTCCCGTCTCCAGACCCAAGCCCGACCCGCTTGGAGTCTGAGCCCTAGAGAAATTAAAGAGTCTGTGCATAATCCGTGAGTCAGTGCGTGGCTGCCTGCGTGAGGCGGACGCACGTGGCCCCGCCCTTCTCCGTGACCTTCATTCGGTCACCGCAGTGACCTTGAGTTTTCTCCGTCCGGATCTTATCAGCCCTGCCTTCCCGGGACTCGTAGGGTTACTTGCTTGCACGAGTAGGTCTGCTTCTCTCACCAGGGCCTTCGCAACTTTCCGGGACTACTGAGTCTGCGGCTCAGGTGTCCACAAAGCGTTACCTTGGGGGAAGGGGAGAAGGGGCTGTGCTGAGCCCCCACCCCGAGCTGGGCTCCACCCCTTATGCATATGCAGATATCCCACCCTTTCCGCCCATCCCGCCTTCTCATTTTCTTAAGGGCCTGGTCTCTCCCCGCTGCTGCGGCCACTGAGCGACCTCGCCCATTCCTCTAACGCAAAGCTACAGCAGCCTCCTCCGTTCCTTCTGGGCTTTCATTACCGGCGCCCCACCGTCTCTGGCCCCGCCCCCAGGAGGCCGCGTACGCAAGTGCGCCGCTGAGGGTCGGTGGCGGTGGGGCGGGGCTTCGATGAAGACCCGCCCCCTGGCCCTGAAGGCTCCACCCTACTCCTTCAGGAACACGGGCGCTGCCCGCCTCACTTGTCTGATTAGCATAGGGCCGCCGGGCCCCGCCCCCTGCTTTGCATGCGCACGACCGGCCCCGCCCCCGCTGTCAGCTGGAGGAAGCGGAGTAGGAAGCGGCCGCGATGTCCTTTTGTGTCCTACAAGCAGCCAGCGGGGCCGCCGAGTGAGGGGACGCGGCGGGGCGGCGCGGCCCGAGGAGGCGGCAGAGGAGGGGCCGCCCTCGGGCCCCGGCTCACCCTGGCATTACGGGCTGCTGGGCCCCCATGCCTGCCCACCCGCCCTACCGGAGCCCCAGGTCTTGGGGCGGAGGGGTGCTGCCGTGGGCGGGCGGGGCGCGGGGCCATGTGCAAGCGCGGCGGGGAGGCGGGCGGGATCCGGTCGAGAGCCCAGCGGGAGTCAGAGCCTGGGCAGGATCCTGCGTCTAGGTCCCGGAGGGCCGGCCCGGGTCAAAGTCCAGCCCGGCTCGGACTGCGGAGCCCGGCCCCGCTCAGCCTGGGGCCTCGGATCTAGCCCTGGGGCAGGGTTCAATACGGCGCTTGGGGCGAGCCGAAGTCCCTGGGGCGGGCTGGGGTGGAAGAAGGGGAGGGTTCTCTGGGAAAGGGCTCTGAGGACCACGTGGGGGCGCTCGAAGGGGCTTGGGCCACCCTCCTCTCTGGGTCAAAGGTCATCGAAGCGGCGGGGGAGAACTTCTTCCTCCTCGGCTCTTTTCATTTACTTCCTGATAACCTGATAGAGGTCCCCCGTAGGCGGAGGGGGAGGGGAGGCTAGCAACTTTGGGTAACTTCCCATAGGTGTGCGAAGGTTAGCGGGTGGGGCACTCCATGAGGTGGTGGACTCTGCGGCACGATTGGGGTGCAAGGAGGTGGAGCCACACCCGGTGGTGTGGCTGGAACTGGGCATGCTGGGGCAGGAGGGGGCGGTGTGTCTTAAGTGTGAGGCTGTTCTTTCTTGAAGGAGTCTGTGCCACTGTATGTGCCTGTGGGGACCCTGTGAGATGGTGTGGGATTGAGTCTTGAGTGTGTGTTTATGGAGGGTATCCTTTGGGAGGAGTGTGTGAGGACAAGTATGAGAGTAAGGACTAGGGTTTTAGAACGTGAAAACCCCCAGCACAGAGTGAGTGTGTGTGGGTGTGTGGGACCACCTGAGAACCCAGGTGAGTAGGGTGTGGGTGTGAACACACGGGTAAGCCAATCCTTTGCTTCCCCTGGGCCTGAGTGACTCATTGTGCCCTCTTGAATAGAGAGTACCTAGATGAGGGGGAGATCACTGAAGTCACCCTAAGATCTGAAAGGTGTTCCAGGTGGGGTTGGAGGTTGAGTGGGTGCTGAGGTTTCCGTGCTCTCTGGCCTGGGTGGGAGGGGGGCCTTTCCACGCTTCTCTCAGGTTCCCAAGAGGGAGACCTGCTGTCAGTTAGTGCCCTGGAGGCTCTGGAGACTGTTCTCCTGGCAGCAGCTGGGGGGGCCCCCCTCATGGCAACCTTTCCTTGGACTCTGCACCCTTTCTTCCCCTGACTGAGCCTGGAAGCCTGGCCCAGGGTTGGGCAACTCATATGGCAGTGTGTCTCCCCATCCCTCTGCCTTTCTGATCTGATGGTCTCTCCCTGCAGGTGACCAGCGCCATGTCCAGCCAGGTGGTGGGCATTGAGCCTCTGTATATCAAAGCAGAGCCAGCCAGCCCTGACAGTCCAAAGGGTTCCTCAGAAACTGAGACTGAGCCCCCTGTGACCCTGGCTCCTGGTCCAGCTCCCACCCGCTGCCTCCCGGGGCACAAGGAGGAGGAGGATGGGGAAGGGACTGGGCCTGGCGAGCAGAGCAGTGGAAAGCTGGTGCTCAGCTCCCTGCCCAAACGCCTTTGCCTGGTCTGTGGGGATGTGGCCTCTGGCTACCACTACGGTGTGGCATCCTGTGAGGCCTGCAAAGCCTTCTTCAAGAGGACCATCCAGGGTGAGCCCCCACCCCTTTTCTGTGCCCTTTGCCCTGTACCCTTGGCCTGACACCTCCCAGCTGGTAACCGCTGGGTACAGTAGTCTCTGAGCCTGTCCAGGTACTGCATGAGGTTGGCAGCGTGGGGCTCCCAGGCCCTGTATCTCATTAAAGTGAGATACAAATAAGTAAAGCACCAGCACCTGTCAATGGGTTGGATGGGATATTAAGTGTAAGGTGGGTTCCTGGGTGCCTTAGGCTCATCGCACCTTTTGACCTTTTGACTGTGGCTTTGAGAAATTCCAAATCTTTGTTCTTGACTTTCTTTTTTCTAGCAGCTACTGACCTCTCCTGGCATAGAACATGCCCCTTTTAATTTTCTCAAAGCCGCACCAATGAAAGGCAGATTTTTATGGGCAACTGAGGGGGGCCTTCATACTGAGCAATACCTCCAGCCTTTTAAAAAATTTATCTATATATTATTTACTTTTTTCTTTTTGGTACCGGGGATCGAACTTGGGTCCTTGGGCTTGTGCAGTAGGTGGCGAAACCACTGAGCTAAATCCCCGGTCCTATATATTATTTACTTTCGTCTTTTGGAGACACTCTTGTTCAAGGCTGGCCTTGAACTCATTAGTAGCCTAGGCTGGCCTCAAACTCTTGGAGATCCTTATTGTCTTGCCTCGGCCTCCTATATTCTGGGATTATAAGTGTGTACTAGGACATCCAGCTACTGTATCATATTTTAGTATCTGACTTTATTTATTTATTTTTTTTGGTACAGGGGATTGAACTTGAGATCTTGCACTTGCAAGTGCTGGAACCACTAAGCTAAATCCCCAGCCCTAGAATTTGACTTTAAAAAGATTGTTAGGGAGCCAACCATGGTGGTGAAGGGCTGTAATCCCAGCACTTGGGAGGCTGAGGCAGGAGGATCATTTCGAGTTCCAGGCTAGCCTGGACTACATGGGAGACTCTGTCTCAAAAAACGCAGTGGTTCCGCTGCCTGCCTTGTAAGCAGAAGAACCCAAGTTCGATCCCCAGTACCAAAAAAAAACCACAACAAAAATCAGGGCTGGGGATTTAGCTCAGTGCTTCTGCCACCTGCCTCGAAAGCGGAAGGACCTGAGTTCGATCCCTGGTACCAAAAAACAAAACTCCCAAAAAACAACAAAACAAAAAAGGATTGTTAGGAATCCTTGCGCTTATATGTTTGTTTTTGGAGACAGCCTTTTGCTCTGTGGCTCAAGCTGGCCTTGAACTTGTGGTACACTTCCCTCAGCTTCCCCACTTCCGGGATGACAGGACTGTGGTTCCATGCCTGCCCATCTCTGCTCTTAAAAGTCACTTATTTTACCCGGTATGTTGATGAACACTTGTAATCCTAGCAACTCAGGAGGCTGAGGCAGGAGGACTACAAGTTAAAGGTCAAGTTGGGCAACTTAGATTGTCTCAAAATAAGATTTAAAAAGGGCTGGGGATGTAGCTCAGAGGTAGAGTGCTTGCCTAGCCAATGTAAGGTCCTGAGTTCAATCCATAGCCTGTGTACTGCACACCCCCCCCACCCGCCCCCAAGCAAACCAAACTTCAAGTCTGTGACCAAGATGCTAATATAAACATCACCTGGGATTGGCCTGTTAGTTGTTTCACAGCTGGGAAAACTGAGGTTTCAGGGGTTAGATGTGAGACTTGCTCAGGGTGACACAGTTTGTCCATGGTGGTAACAGGATGGAGCCCACGCAGCCCCTGACACCCTTTGTTTTTCAGACTTGTGTTTTGCTATCCTGACCACTGAGGTTGGGAGAGACAGGGAGCAAAGCATGTACCAAAGGACTGGCCTTTGTCTGGGGCTCTGGAGGGCTTCCCTGGGGAGGTGTCTTAAGCTGAGTGCAGAAGCCTGAGGAGGATACAGGAGGAAACATACTGTGTTAGCTAGAAATTCCTGCAGAGGAGGACTTAGTATTTTCACAGGTGGCCAGGTAAGGCCTCCCTGAAGTGACAAAGAGCAGAGGTCTGAAGGGGGTGAGGAGGGCAGGGAACCTGCATAGAGGGCAGGACCAGACAGGAGCCCAGGCAGGGAGCTGCATGCCCTGAGGCAGCCCTGTTTGAGAGCAGAGGTCTTAAAGGTGACAGGTGGGTGAGGCCAAGGGGAAGTTGGTGGGGAGGTGGGCTGAGCAGAAGTGGGACTGGAGCTGACACAGGTCTCAGGATCCCTGTGGCTGCTGTGCAGAGAATGGGGACAGAGCAAGCCAGTGAGGTGAAAGGTGATGGTGATGAAAAGTCCATGGGGAAGCAGTTGCCAGTGGCAGAAGGAGCTGCAGTCAGGGTGGATGAGAAGGCAAAGCCTTCAGGATTTGTTAGCAGGTTGCATACATTGTTCAAGGAATGTAACGATCCGCACAGGTTTCTGCTCAGGCCCCAGGATGAATGCAGTTGCTGGCTTGGCAGGGAGGTCTGGGTCCATTTAGGATGTGTGAGGTTTGAGAAGCCTTCTGGACATACAGGATGTCCAGGATGTAGCTGGATTCATGAGTGTGGAGGTCCAGGCAGGTCTGGGCTAGAAAAAGAAATTGGCAAGTCCTGTGATGTAAGATTGCCACAGGAATGAGTGAGGGTGAGGTACAAGGCCAGCCTGGGAGGCTTCAATGGAAGGAGCTGGGGAGATGCAGAGAAACCACAAAGTGGCCAGAGAGGTGGGAGGAAAAGAAGAGAGTGGTGTCTTAGGAGCAAAAGAAGGAAGCATTCAAGTGTTTCTAGGAGCAAGATGTGTTTGATGCTCCTTTAGAGATGTGAGATGAGAACTGAGAATTGACCATTAGATTCAGCAGCATAGAGGGTAGTGTGGTCTGGTGGAATGGCTCAATCAGAGGCCTGGGGCAGAGAAGCTGCCAGATTACTTGATCCCTGCCCTTCCCTCGTCCAGGCAGGGGTCCTTGCCCAGTGGCCAATCCTCCCTGCCCTGCTTATGGTACCCTGCTCTTCCTTTCCTTCCCGTACCCCCAGACCTGTGCTTGCCCGAGGCGTGTCAGGGCTTTCCTGTCCACTGGGCCCCCTTCAGGCCTGGGGAGACTGCCACTGGAGCCCTGGCTCTTCTTGGTAGGGAGCATCGAGTATAGCTGTCCAGCCTCCAATGAATGCGAGATCACCAAGCGGAGACGCAAGGCCTGCCAGGCCTGCCGCTTCACGAAGTGCCTGCGGGTGGGCATGCTCAAGGAGGGTGAGCACTGGCAGGGTCCTGTGTGGAGCAGGGAGGAGCCTGAGGGTGGGGCTGTGGGATAGCCCTGCAGAGCAAGTACACCCTAGACCTATAGACTCACCCTGTCCTACAATTCAAGGGGTGCGCCTGGACCGAGTCAGGGGAGGGCGACAGAAGTACAAGCGGAGGCCAGAGGTGGACCCACTGCCCTTCCCAGGCCCCTTTCCTGCTGGCCCCCTGGCAGTAGCTGGAGGCCCCCGGAAGACAGGTAAGAGCATTGTGGGTCCCTAGAGCTCTGGGGCAGGAAACCTACCTGGCATTATTATGGGTACTAGGTCCTGTATTTCCTTCATGGATTCACTTATCATTTTTCTAAAAAATATTTATGAAAGTGTTTTTTTATGCATTGTAGACCAAATAGTACAGCTGGGACCAGAGAGGTTTTCTGACACTTGGACTTGGACTGTCCACAACCTTCCAAGACTTTTCCCTGGGAGGTTGTGAACATTTTTCCCTGGAGAGAGCTATCTCCTAGCTTGCCAGTGGCTGGGGAGAATGGCCACAGGGGGCCTGCCAGGGAAGGTTCTTTGGCCCGAGGAAGCCTGATGCATTTCAGTGCTGATTAGTCCTCCCCATCGCTGCAGCCCCTGTGAATGCACTGGTGTCTCACCTCCTGGTGGTTGAGCCAGAGAAGCTGTATGCCATGCCTGACCCTGCTGGCCCTGATGGACACCTCCCAGCTGTGGCTACCCTCTGTGACCTCTTTGACAGAGAAATCGTGGTCACCATCAGCTGGGCCAAGAGCATCCCAGGTAAAGGGCCCAGGTGACTTGGGGCCTGCCGGAGCAGGCCAGGTTGTCCTTGGCTCTAAGGCACTTGCTCAGCCACGTCTGCTCCCCACTGCCCTCCAGGCTTCTCGTCACTGTCGCTATCTGACCAGATGTCAGTACTGCAGAGCGTATGGATGGAGGTACTGGTGCTGGGTGTGGCCCAGCGCTCACTGCCCCTGCAGGATGAGCTGGCCTTTGCTGAGGACTTGGTCCTGGATGAAGAGGGGGCACGGGCAGCTGGTCTTGGAGAGCTGGGAGCAGCCCTGCTGCAGCTGGTACGGCGCCTGCAGGCCCTACAGTTGGAGCGTGAGGAATATGTCTTACTGAAGGCCCTGGCCCTTGCCAACTCAGGTGAGTCCAGGGAGGCACCCAGCGCTTAGCCACACATGTAAAGCCCTTGATAATGTCCCATTTTGGAGATAAGGAAAACTGAGGCCTAGGGAAGAACACTGACTTCATAAAAGTGACAAAACAAGTGAAGGGGAGGTCCCAAACTGCACACAGGAGTTTGAGCCATGCTAATGTGGAAAGGTAGTTTAGTGGGAGGAATCGTGGGGAGAACAAGAGGTGGCCAAGTTGAAGGAGAAAGGGTGGGCCTTGGCTCATAGGCAGAAGAGTGGTGCCCTCTGTCAGCCAGACAACACATCCAGGTTGGCCCTCCTTGGGCCTTATCCAGCAGTGCTGAAGTAGATGAGACTTCTGCCCTTTCCTAAGGTGGCCCAGGGCAACAGTTATGGCTCCTTCCTTGCAGACTCTGTGCACATTGAAGATGCCGAGGCTGTGGAGCAGCTGCGAGAAGCCCTGCATGAGGCCCTGTTGGAGTATGAAGCTGGCCGGGCCGGCCCTGGAGGGGGTGCTGAGAGGCGGCGGGCAGGCAGGCTGCTGCTTACACTACCACTCCTCCGCCAGACTGCGGGCAAAGTGCTGGCCCATTTTTATGGGGTGAAGCTGGAGGGCAAGGTGCCCATGCACAAGCTATTCTTGGAGATGCTTGAGGCCATGATGGACTGAGGCAAGGGGTGAAGACAGGTCAGGGCGCTGACAGGACCTACTCAGCATGGGGTCAGCCCTAAAGGGGGCAGACTGGGGTCTGGGCAGTGCTACAGCCTGCTGGCAGGGCCAGGGCAATGCCATCAGCGCCTGGGAGCAGGCCCCATGCCCTCTCCTCCACTGAGGGGGGTATCAGGAGCTGGGAATGTGAATGCCCAGACTCTGGGCACAGTGCTGCCCCTTGCAAGCCATAATGTGCCCCCAAGAGTGTAGGGGGCCTTGCGGAAGCCATAGTGGGCTGCAGGGGATGTGGCAGGCAGAAACCTGATCTCAGGGAGGGAAGGGGATGGAGCCCAGAGTCTCCCAGTGGGTGATGCTTTTGCTGCTGCTTAATCAGATTTCCTCTCCAGAGTAGAGGGGTACTTGGGAGAGCAAAGGTCCCTGCCCCCTTCGCTCCTCTCCTCATCATTTGCATTGGGCATTAGTGCCCCCTCCTCGAAGCAATAACTCCAAGCAGGCTCCAGCCCCTGGACCCCTGGGGTGGCCAGGGCCCCCCATGAGCTCCCACCTCGCCTCAGGGGGTCAGGAGAGCACTGCCTCTATGCCCTGCAGAGCAATAACACTATATTTATTTTTGGGTTTGGCCAGGGAAGCGCAGGGACATGGGGAAGCCAGGGCCCAGAGCCCTTGGCTATACAGAGACTCTATTTTAATTTATATTTGCTGCAAAAAGAAACCGCTTTTGGTTTTGAACCTTTAATGAGAGAAAAAAAAGATATACTATGGAGCTCAAGAACACTGTGTTTGGTGTGTCACTGCGTCAAGGTCTGGGGCTAAGGATGGGAGAACAGAACGTTCAGGGTCACAAAACGTCAAGCTGGTTGGTGTCTGTCACAGTTAGGTCTCTGTTTCCTCATCATTCAGCAGCATGTTGGGGATCCCGCGACTGATGGGGAACAGACGTCCAGACTCTGGGCACTGCAGGGTGCCCTCCAGCACCTCCACCTATGGGAGGGGGGCAGAGCTAAACACCAGCAGCCTCAAAGTGAGAGGTGGGGGACGCAGGTGATCACACGGTTCTCACCTCCAGCAGCACGTGGTGCATCTTCCTCAGAAAGTCTTCATCGTGCTCATACCCCTCAGTTGGCGCTCGGGGCACCTCCGCCAGGTGCAACTACGGACAAGAGGCCTAAATCATCTCTGGGAGTGCAAACACCCTGCCCTCCCCCAAGCGGGGCTCGGAACCGGTACAAGGGTGAGCCCGCAGCCCTTCTGAGGTCTGCACAGCGGGGGCAGGGTCCTCACGGTATCAGCCGCCTCCAGAAGTGCCGCCCACTCCACTTTGGGAATCATACGCGCCACGAAGTCTGGGTTGAACTCCACAGGGTTGACGCGGACCTCGGTGGCCTGCGAGGCAGAGGTTTTGTGAGGCAGAGACGGGACGCCGGTTCCTCCATCCCGCCCGGGAAAGGGGCAAGAGACACCCCTCAGCCAGTACCTGGAGGCGAAGGGGGAAGCCACGGGGACCCACCCCTCGCACATGGGAGCTCAGGAGATTGTGGGTGAGGAGTTTCATGTCGCTACACTCGAGCTCGCCAACCCGGAACCGGAAGAGACCGCTCCAAGGCTAGCATCACTTCCGGGGCCGCTCCACACCACGCTATTGGACAGCCAGGAGAACCGGAAGTGGCGAACTTGCTGGGTCTCGTGGTTGACGAGCAGAGCTGAAGGTACTAGCTGGTCCGATTGTGCGCTGCTACCGGAAGCGTCTCTGTAGGGTCACTACGGCCCAAGCCAAACCCCACTTGCTGTAAATCGTACGAATAATGCAAATCATATGTAAAACATCTGCAATGCAGAGGCTCTTGTTGAATGTTAAATAAATCAGGCCTACACTGGAGCCTATCGTCTTTTGTCCCTTGTTTTCGTTTAAGGAACGGAAACACTGCCCTATCCACAAATTAGGCTTATCTAGAGAACGCTACCACCTCCTATGCAAATGAGCTACACTACCGCTAAAAGTTCCGCCCCATTTGTAATGCGTCAGTGGCCCAGCCCCTAATGAAAATAAACCCTGGTTCCGGAAGCCCCAGCCTCGCCTCGCGCGCTGGCGCTAAAGCCTACGCATTGGGGGCGGTGCAGCCGAGGCTCAGCCTTCTGCAGGGTCGGTGGGCGGGCATGGGGCTGGCGCAGTTGGGTGCGCTAAGCTCCCTAATAGGGTTGGTTCACAGTGGAGTGGTTACCCGTCAGTGTGCCGCGGCAGCAGCGAGCCGAGCCGGCGATCGGAAGGAGGAGTAGGAGGGTGGGCACGTAACGGGGCCCACCGTTCCGCAGCGCCTCCGCAGCTATGGCCCCAATTAAGGTGACCGTTGGCCCAGCCGGACCTGACCCCTCCCTGTCTCTTCAAGGCTGATCCCATCCCACTCGTAGGGGCTATCGCCGTCTCTCTTGCCCTCTGGGTCCCTCCCCGCTGCCCTCGGGGACCCTTAGCAAGATCCCTTGGCTGCCCTTCCGTCCTTGCCTATTTTAGTAGCCTCGCGACACCCACCTCCTGGGACATCCCGGAGGCCCTCAAGCCCCCCTCTCGATCACTCCCTCGTACACTGTGAGGCGTCTAGGGACGGGTCCCCATTCTTTTCAGGCGATTGCGTACCACGCACCCCATCCTCCACCTTCTAGAACCATTCCTTTCACCACAGGTCCCCTTTTCAACTTGTCTACGCATCCTCCGCTGCACCCTCCATATGCTTTTGTGATAGTACTGGGCAGCACTTCGTCCATCTTCTGACACAGTTGTGGTCCCTGAAAACCCAGTAGTGTCTTCCACATCCCACCCCACGACTGTCTCCCCTCCATGGCTGATTCCCACCTTTCTTAGTACACCCCTCTCTCCTCCCAAGCTACGTTCCTAGCCCTTTTAAATTTTATTTTGAGACTCGGTCTGGCTGAGTTGCCTCAGCCTCCCCAGTGGTTGGAAGTATAGGACTGTGCCACCATTCCCAGCGTCTGTTTATCTTAATCCCATCTTCAGGAACCATCCCCAGCTCGTTGGGCCACCTCCCTTCCCCTCCCACCCTCTTCTGAGATCCTCTCCATTTCTCTTTTTTTTTTGGTACCGGGATCAAACTCCGTACCTTGAACCTGCAAGGCAGCAGAACCACTGAGCTAAATCCCTGGCCTGCTTCTCCATTATCTCTTTCCTTCTCCTACCTTTGAGCTCCTTAGAATCCCCGCCTCTGAAATCCCCCTCCCTTTTGTCTGTTTCCTCTGACCCCAACATGCCCTCTTCCAGCCCTGGCAGACTGGTCCCCCTCCCCTCCAAGTGGTAGCCCCAAGAGGGCTGGACACCTCCCCTAATTTTTCTAGCCCTCTTTCCTTTGGTGTGGATAGGACATTCAGACCTGGCCAGGATTTTCTCCCCTCACCTTGTTAGGGCCTTCCCCTCCCCCCGCCACTCTTGTCCTTTAGCCTAGGCAGTGTTTGCACAATGTTTCACACAGGGAGGTTGCCTCTCCCTTTCTCTGTTGTTACCAACGGGCCCTTAAGCAGAGCCAGGGTACCTTGAAACCTAGAGGATGTGGAGTAACCAGATGGTGGAGGGAGGGGACAAGCTGCCAGGTTCTGTCCCCCGGCTCTGGTTGTTACTCCTCCCTCTTTCCCTTGTGCCCTTCCCTACAGGTGGGCGATGCCATCCCCTCCGTGGAGGTATTTGAAGGGGACCCTGGGAACAAGGTGAACCTGGCAGAATTGTTCAAGGGCAAGAAGGGTGTGCTGTTTGGAGTTCCTGGGGCATTTACCCCTGGCTGTTCCAAGGTGAGGGTCACCAGTCTTCCTAAGTCTTGTGTTGCCCAGAGAGAGGCAGCTTGCAACAGGAGTATGTAACTGTGAGACAGTTGAGAGAGCAGTTCAGTGACTTGAGGAAATACAAGCAGAGCTGGGATGAAGTAATAGTTCCCAGAACATAGGAGAAAAGGACTACAGTTAAATTTTATTGATGCTGCTGGATGACAGGCACTGTGGAAAGTACATGGGACTTGAGCAAATAAGACATAGTCCTAAAACTGGGTGTGGTGGCACTCTGGGAAGCTGAGGCAGGAGGATTGCAAGTTCAATCCCAGCCTGGGCAATTTAAAAGTATCATGACCCTGTTTTTTAAAAAAAAAAAAAAAAAAAGACCTAGTTCTGCCCATGGGAAGTTCATGGTTTTGACCACAGGATATTTGGATATGAGCTCCCCAGTGGCTGAGGCATAAAGGGAATCTAATGGTTCACAGAGTTACATGGCTGATCAAAGGCATTGAGTCAAGGAGGTGAGGAGGGCCTGGAGATGATTGAGGGTTGTGGAGCAATGCAGTTATTCCTTTGTTGACTTTCACCCCCTCCTAGACCCACCTGCCGGGATTTGTGGAACAGGCTGAGGCTCTGAAGGCCAAGGGGGTGCAGGTGGTGGCATGTCTGAGTGTTAACGATGTATTTGTGACTGGAGAGTGGGGTAGAGCCCACAAAGCGGAAGGCAAGGTGAGATATGGGGTCTGCAGGGGCTGGGGGTAGGGAGTATCCTTTTTATGATTTTTACTTTCTGTCTCCTCAGATTCGGCTCCTGGCTGACCCCACTGGGGCCTTCGGAAAGGTGAGTGTGTTCCTTATTCCTGCCCTACAGCCACTTCCTATGCGCGACTTCCACAGCAGGGCTTGGAGGGACATGGTAGTGTGGGGAGCAGCCTTTGGCCTGTTCCTGACGCATTTCTCCATCTCACTTCTTAGGAGACAGATTTATTACTAGACAATTCATTGGTACCCCTCTTTGGGAATCGCCGGCTCAAGAGGTAAAAGCAGAAGACCTCTTCATGGGGCTTCCCTGGGACCCTGTCTCCTCCCTCCCCTGCCGCCTCTGGGGCCAAGCTGATGTGCCCGCCCATCCCCATTCTCTTTCCACAGGTTCTCCATGGTGATAGAGAACGGTGTGGTGAAGACTCTGAATGTGGAGCCAGATGGCACAGGCCTCACTTGCAGCCTGGCCCCCAACACCCTCTCACAGCTCTGAGGCCCTGGGCCAGACGCTTCCTCTGCCCTTTCCTGTCATACCTGTCCAGCCTGGACAGAGGGCCCTGATCCTGCCTTAGCTGCGGCTGTCTGATTTGAATGCTGGCCACGTTTCTGCAATTAAACACTTCTGCTTCTCAGCTGTCTCTGGTGTGGAGTTGCTGCCTCACTGAGGGCCTTGTGACACGGCCACAGGTTGAGCCAAGGTGCTGGGGGAGGGGCAGGCGGGTTGGGGAGTTGGAGCATCAGCCTGGAAGTTGAGAGCAAGGATGTTGTGGGGCTGCAAGGAGCACAGGAAAGAGCCCAGGCAGATGTGCACTTGGCACACTCCAGGATTTTTTTTTTTTTGGTAAGGGGTGGGGATGTCGAACTCAGGACCTTGAGCTTGTGAGGCAGGCACAGTACAACTGAGATAAATCCCCAGTCCACTTCAGAATCTTTTGGACTTGCTCTGGAGTGCTGGCTGGTCTTGTGTGGTCTGAACTCCAGGGTAGGAGCCTTGGCTGTAGGCCTTCCTGCTGGGGCCCAGTCCCCATTGTTTTAGGCTCTAGCCCTGTCCCAAGAAGGGTCCCAGGCACCTTTGGCTTCTCTGTCTGTCTGTCTGGATGGCCAAAGGGGCTCCATCCGGGGAGACAGCTTCCTCGGGAGGAGTCTAGGTGAGGCCTGGCCCATAGTTTGTGGGTGTAGGGGCCAAGAGCCAGGATCCCTGCCTAGCCTTGGGGAGGGGCATTGCAGCCCTGCTCTTGAGGCTCTGTCTTTTTGCCCTGGGAAGCCATATGCATGCAGCAGACAGCAGTTATTAAGCCCCTGCTGTGTTTAGGGGGTCACAGTCTTAAGAGGGGCAGCTGCTTACAGAGCTTTTATGTGATGGGCACAGTGAGGTATGGACTGTTACTGCCGGGGCTTTGAGCCCTGCAGGCTGGGCAGGCCAGGGGCTCTTCTCACAGGACTGGGCTCCAGGCTCCTGCTCCGGAGCAAGGCATGCTCTGGGAAATCAGAGAGGAAATGACCTAGAGGCAGCAGGAATGACAGCACTGTGGGGTGAGGACAGCCCTGGGCTGCTGCTGGGATAAGAGGAATGAGAGGGTGCCTGAGATCAGCTGGAAGCTACTAAGTCTCTTGCCTCTGCACCCTGTGGATACCTTAGGCCACTGGACTTTTTACCTGGGGCAGTGACAGGTCAGGTTCATACATGGAGAGCTAAGTAGAGCCCAGTGAGCTGGGTGCCAGGGAGAAGCACCTGGCGGGCATGAAGGGAAGGCTCTGTGATCACAGTGATGCTTGGAAGGAGGAGGCAGGGGACGTTGGGGCCACTGGTAACAGTGCAAGGTAGTGGCAATGGTGGGGCACTCAGAAGAGGGTAAATGCCACACTGCCAGCACCCCAGGTGTTCAGCCGCCTAAGTGCCTGGAACACCAGCCTTTGTCCCTGCAGTCTTTCCCATAACCTGCCAACCCTGAGGTCTTGGGTGGGGCCAGGAAGGGGGCTAAGGGCTCTTTAGTTTCCCTGGTAACGTGCCCTCTCCTCTTCCCCTTGTCCACCCTGGATTACAGTGTGGTCCTTGCTAAATCCCTTTTTTCCTGGATACCATCTCTTTTTTTTTTGGTACCAGGGATTGAACTCGGGTCCTTGCGCTTGTGCAGCAGGCAGTGAAACCACTGAGCTAAATCCCTGGCCCCTGGCCCTTACTCTGAATCAGTCCATGTGGGGATGGGGCCACATAATGCAACTTCATCAAACATGGATTTTTCAAATTGACATATATTATAATTCAAGTATCATAAAATTCACCCTTTTAGCTGTGCGTGGTGATGGACACCTGTAATCCCAGCTACTGGGGAGGCTGAGGCAGGAGGATTACAAATTTGAGGCCAGCCTGGACAACTTAGTATGACTGTCTTAAAGAGGGGGTGCTGGGGTAGAGCACGTACCTAACATGTGTGAGCACCTAGGTTCAATCCCCAGTACCACAGAAAAAGAACACATCTCACCCTTTAAAAGTGTACAATTCAGTAGTTTACAGTACAGGTAGATTCGCCAAGCTGGATTTTTTTTTTTTTTTTATACCGGGGATCGAACTCAGGTCCTTGCGCTTGCACAGCAGGCAGCGAAACCACTCAGCTAAGTCCCCGGCCCGCCAAGCTGTATTTTTAATCTCAGTAACTTCTCCCAAAAGGAAGCTGCCTCTCTTTGGAGCACTGCAGTCCTCATGTAGTTAAGAGAGGTGCATTCGGATCTCGGGGGTGCCACCTTCTCCCTGTGTGTCCCTTCACAGTCCCTTAGTGTCCTGCCTCCAGTGCGCATTTGTGAGAGTCCTCCATGCCAGGCACTGTGGTGGGCTCCAGTGGCACAGAGGTGAATCCACCAGGCCTGGGCTCCACAGGCACCATGTTGAAAGGTGTCTGGGAGAGGGGAAGAGCTTATGGTAAGGCCTAAAGGAGGAGAGGATGCTGGAGATCTGGGCTGAGCTTGAGGTAGGACAGAGGTGGGCTGGTGCCCACCAGTGTGGTTCTGCGGGCTTCTCCTGGTGAGGATCCAGGGTCTCGGCACTCTGCAGGGGTAGTTTCAGATGTGTTTCTATTTTTCTTTCCTCTTCGTCTCCTACCTCATGGTGTGTTCCCAAGTGCTGAGGGCCAGGTCTAAAGGCTGGAGTGGTTTTATTGGTCTCTGGAAACTCTGCACCCCTGGGATATGTGTCTGTGTTCACCACTGCCCTCTGACCTTCCCTTTTTTTTTTTTTTGCACACAATTGTGCTGCCTTGCCCAGGTTGATCTAGAAATCTTGGACTCAGTGGATCCTTCTGTCTCAGTCTCCTGAGTAGTTGGGACTACAGATATACAACACCATGCTCAGCGATGAGCTTTTTCTTTATCTCTGAAATACTATTATAGACAGATGAGTTAGGTAGAAATATTATAGACAGTCAGGTAGGGCTAGGTCCTCGAGAGGATCAGGACAAAGGTGAAACACACCACAGAGACATATCAGTTGGAAACCAGGCCTCAAGATAAAGACAAGATGACCAGATCTACATATTTCCTCAAAGAACAAACACTGGGCCTAATGAAGTCTCGATAGACATCAGCCACCCTGGTGGGTGACCAGAGACCTCTGGACCCACCACTTCCTAGGAGAATCTTTGTTCTTTCCATCCACGCTTGTTACGTGACTTGTTTTCCAACTGGACCTCTATTTCCTAAGTGACTATACTTGTAAACTTATTGAATGATCATGGCTGTGGTCCATGTAGTACCCATGTGGGTTTCACCCTATAAAACTCTGTAAAGTGGGGTCCCCAGCTACCCACTCCAGTTCCTTCCTACTCCCCAGGAGCTTTTCTATCAATAAATATCTACCTACTCTTTTTTTTTTTTGGTACCAGGGATTGAACTTGGGACCTTGCATTTTTGAGGCAGGTAGCAGCACCACTGAGCTAAATCCTCGACCTTCTATGCAGTGTTTTTTTTTTTTTTTTTAAATATCTTCCTACTCTTTTTTTTTTTGGTACCGGGGATCGAACTTGAGTCCTTGTGCTTGCGCAGCAGGCAGCAAAACCACTGAGCTAAATCCCTGGTCCTGTCTTCCTACTCTTAACCTCCTTTGTTCCTAGAATTCTTTCTTCAGTTTTTAGAGAACAAGAGCTTGCCGTATCATACAGCTAACAGGTTGGGAGATATAATATTTCATATTTCATCTCTAGTATTATTTCCTGTGACATTATGAATTCACTTGTTTAAAAATGTTAACTTAGCTTCCTAGCAGTGTGGCCTTAAGCATGCCACTTCACCTCTCTGTGCATCTGTTTCTTCGTTGTAAAGTGGAGCTAAAAATACTACCCATGTTTTACCAGAGTGGAGGGGCGGAACGAATTAATCCAGGTGTAGAACTTAGAATAGAGCTCGGCACAGGTGAGTGTCTGGCAAGTGTTGGTGCTGTCACAGTCATGGCGGGATTGGCATGGTGCCGTGGAGAGACTGTGGTCACAGAATTCCCCCTGACAGCATCCTCTGGGAAGGGTCGTAGGTAAAGCAAACTGTAGGATGCAGGGCCATTCCAGTGTGCATGGGAGGCAGGACCAGATGGGCTTTAGGAGGAAAAGATCTTTTGTGGGAAGGGACAGCTGAAGGAGACCAGTAGGGTGAGATGAAGCTGGTCCTGGGGTGGGGAGAGCAGACAGGGTGTCCAGGCTGAACGACCCCCACATGCAAAGGTGTGGGGGTGGGGAGTGGGGAGAAAGTGGGGAAGGATGAGGTCAGGGTGGGGAGCAGGGCCTTGAAGGTCATGGTGAATGGTTACAGCTAGATTCAAAGTGCAGGGAGAAGGCCCAGGAGGGTTTGCAGCGGGGATGTGTCATGTGATGGTTAGTGTTTTCTTCTTTCTTCTCCCCTCTCTTCCCCTCCTCCTTTCTTTCTTTTTGCAGTACTGGGGACTGAACTCAGCCATCGCACTTAGCTACATCCCCACTCTTTAATTTTTGGAGACAAGATCTTACTAGGTTTCTAAATTGCCCAGGCTGGGCTCAAACTTGTTATCCTCTTGCCTCAGCCTCCCACAGTGCTGGAATTACAGGCATCCACCAATATGCCTGGCTTGGTTACTGTTTCTGTATGATTCCTCCAGCTTGGAGGTGGTTTGGAAACTCAGGGAGAGGTGGAGCATGGAGCAGTGTGGGGAACGCATCAAAGCAGATACCTGCTAAGAAAGTGGGCCCTGGACCAGGCAGAAGGCTGGGCTACATGCTGGTGTGGGGCACCTGTCAGGCACTGGGCAGGGGGCTTGGGTGCACTCCCCCTGCCTCTGGCTTCCCACTGTCTCCTCTCATGGGTGCAGCTCAATTAGGCCGTGCTCCTGCTCTGTTCCAACTCTGGCTGCACCATTTCCACCCCTAAACAGTCATGGGAGGCTGGCTTCCCCTTGGGTGGGGAGGAGGGAGTCCCTGCAGCCCTAGGCCCAGAAGGCCAGGTGACAGAAGCCCCGGAGGCTGGTTTTGCTTTTGGGCTTTGATCCTGGGCCCTGCAGTATCTGGTTAGCCACAGGCCAGGAGGAAAAGCCTCACTGTGACTCAGCCTTGGTGGCCCGGGCCTCTTGCTGGACTGTGCCACTTGCACCCAAGCCCTACAGCCCTCCTGCTTCTGGCCTCTGCGGTCAGACTAAGGCTGGGTAGAAGACTCAAAACGAGGAGACAATTGGGAGCTGGAGTCCCTCTCACTATTACTCGGTGTACATGAGGAAGCTGAGCCCTGAGGGAGGGGACTGCATAGCCAGACCTTGGAAGCTGACTACTTGTCCATTTGTCTGTTGTTTTCTTCTTGTCCACCTCCTGGGCCCCTGTGCTAGACAGCAATGGGCATTGAAGCCTCTCAAAAACTGCCATAAAGACCCAGTACATACAAGTATCAAAACATCATGTTATCCCATTAATTTGTACAATTTTTCTGAGTCATTTAAAAAATAAGTTTAATTTTTAAAAAACTGCTTTAGCCTAGTGTGTACACCTGTAATCTAAGCACTCTGGGAGGCTGAGGCAGCAGGACTGAAAGTTTGAGTCCAACCTGGGCAACTTAGTGACTTAATAAGACCCTGTCTCAAAATAAAAAAATAAAAATAAAAATATGAGCTTGGGAGGTAGCTCTATGCAAGGCCCTGAGTTCAACCCCAAGTATCAAACCAATGGAAAATTAAAAAAATAAATAAATAAAATTAAAAATCTAAAAAACACTGAAAAAATTTCTGAGAAAGTCACTGTACAGTGTACTTTACTGCAGTAATAGCAAATCATGCAAATATGTACAGTTGTTATCAACAGGAGACTCAATGGTGATGGGAGACCAACATCATCATAAATCACTATGCAGCTGTTAAAAAGGTCAAGGCTAATGGTTCTGAACAGACACGAAACAGATTGGGGCTGGGACTGGGGTGTAGCTTGGGGGGTGTAGCTTGGTGGCACAGTGCATGCTCAGCATGCGTGAGGCCTTGGGTTCCATCCCTGGCACCAGAAGGGAAAAAAAAAGAGAAAGAGATTGCAAAACACATTGTGAAAAAAGAAGGTTCATGGCCATGTCCCTCATTGCAACCACTTGTTACAGGCTCACTGTGTCCTCAGGAAGGATGAAAGAGAATGCTACCCATGGTCTCCTCTGGCCAGGGCAGGGTAGAAGTGGTAGGTGGAATACTTCAGTTTTTCTCTATATCTTCATACCCTTTTTTTTTGGTGGGGATGGCTCAGCCCTGGTTACCCAATAGATTCCAGGGCTTTAGCATGCTAGGCAAGGGTTCTACCCTGAGTTACAATCCCAGCTGCCCACTTTAAATTTTGAGGGTGCTAAGTTTCCCAGGTTGATCTCAAGCTTCTGAGTTCAAGTGATCCTTCTGCTTCAGCCTCCTGAATCCTAGGACTACAGGAGTGTGCCACTTTGCCCAGATTCTTGACATTTTTGATCATGTGCACATATCTGAAAATGTTTAAAGAGAAAATCTAGCTAAAGGAGGGACTCCTGCCAGCCTCTGATGAGCACCCCTCAATAACTAACTGAGGCCGGGAATCTGAGGAGCTCAGTGTCAGCCGACCAGGGCGCCCCCAGCCTCCCCTTCCTCCCCCAGCATCCTCTGCCTCCCCCAGCCTGTTGGAGAACCAGAGGGCTGTGCAGCCAGGCTTGTCTACAGCAAAGGAAGTGAGAGCAATTCTTGCACAGCCCCTGACTCAGAGGAGGCCCAAGCAAGGGTATGACTCAGAGATACTGAGCAAGGCAAGGGCCTCCCTAGACCCCGGGGTGAACCCCAGCCACCATGCCTGGCTGGCCCTAAAGGTTGGAGGGCCCTGGAGGACCTGGGGGCTGGCAGAGTGGGGCTCCTGAGGACTTCCAGGGCTAGGGTCTTTGGGGGATATGGCTCCGAGTAAGATTCACAGAGGGTCAAATCTGAATGGTCCCTGGATACTATTAATACTAATGACAGTGACCACATCAGGGGCACTTTAGGTTTTTTTTTTTTTTTTTTTGGTACTGGGGATCGAACTCGGGTCCTTGTGCTTGCGCAGCAGGCGTTGAAACCACTGAGCTAAATCCCCGGCCCAAGGGGCACTTTAGGGAATGTCATGCTGGGCACCATGTCTATAGTCCTGGAAACTCCAGGATTATCCCTATGTGCAAAGGCTGCAACAGAGTGAACAGCTAGATGTGGTTCCCTGCTGACAATCCTGCCTGATTTCCCAGTCCCTGGTCAACCACCTTGACTCCGGGGCCCCTGCTCTTTGTACTCTGAACCTACTGGTTTCTTTCAGTTGGTGCTATAACCTAAAAGCTGTGTGACCTTGGGCAAATTACTTAATTTTTCTGGGCCTCAGTTTCTTCTGTAAAACAGAGATAATCCTTATTTCACAGTCTAGTCCAGAGCAAATAAGTTAATAAGTATAAAGTACAGTACTTATAATCATGTGTGGCTCATGTGAAGCCTGTGTTTGCCATGGTTGCTATTATTACCCCACATTTCATCAACTCTAAGATGTCATCAGTTCTAAAAGATATCAGAAAGGGAAAAAAAAATGCTGCTAGTTAACCATGTCCCAAGGCTCTTGCCTTACTAGTTTTTATTTTGTATCTCCCAAAAGAGCTGAATTTGAGTTAAATGTAGATTCTTATCATATATAATTCTGATGTGCACATAAAAAAGGACAGTAGAAGCAGAATAAATTGGTTAACCTGTTCAGAAAACTCCTTCACATTTTATTTATTTATTTATATTTGGTACCAGGGATCGAACTCGGGTCTTTGCGCTTGCGTAGCAGGAGGCAAAACCACTGAGCTAAATCCCCAGCCCCTCCTTCACATTTTAGAGACTTACTCCTGCACATCACTTCTGCATGCTTCCTGGCCACCTTCTCGCCTGGGCCATCAAAGGATACAAATAGCAGTGCTCCTCCCAACAGTCCACAAAACAGCCAAAACCCTGGCAAGGTAGTGTGTCTGCAGCAGCCAGCTTTGCAACCACAGAGCAAGCTCACTTTTGCCTGGGCTTTTCCAATGCTATCACTAAGTTTGAGGCAGGAGGTTCACTTTGGGTCCCAAGTTTAAAGAATGAGTCATGCCTGCCTCTGGGGTTCTCTCCCAACCTGCTCACAACCTTTCTCTGAGATTCCATGCTCACAATTTTGTTGTGGTTTTTGTTTTGAGACAGGGTCTTACAGTGTAGTCCAGGCTGGCCTTGAACTCTCGATGTAGCCCAGGCTGAGCTCAGACTTGGAATCCTGCCTCAGCTTCCCAGGGCTAGATTACAGATATTTGCCACCATGCCCAGCTAGCTAATGCTTGTACTTTTTTTTTTTTTTTTTTTGGTACTGGGGATTGAACTCGGGATCTTTGCACTTTTCAAGGCAGGCAGCGGCACCACTGAGCTAAATCCCTGGCCCTGATACTTGTACTTTTGAAGTATGGGCATGTGCCGGCAATGACAGCTAAGTCAGCATGGCAGCCAGGCAGCCAGCAAACAACTATGCCATGTAACCTGACTTCAGAGATGTTACATGTGAAAAACAGAGCCTCAGAACAGGTAAAACCTGAATAATTTCTGATCTTTACACTGGCCCTGCTTCAGCTGCCTCAGAGCATTGTACATACATTCTGTTCCTGCTGCCTGGAATACCCTTCTTCCCTCCTCACTTTGCCTAGTTAACCTACCTGATGGCTCCCGATTTCATGCCTCCTCTGGGATGCCTTCCCTGACTGTCCCACCAAGGTCACGTCCACACCCCTATAAAGCACCTAGTACAGGTGCAACCTTACATTTTGAGTATGTGGTTTGTAGGTAGCTGGCTCCCCAGTGTCCTGTTCATCCCATGGATCGGGGAGTGTGTGGCTTTTTCCTATGTCCCAGCATCTGGTACAGTGTCCAGCCCAAAGAAGGTGAGCCAGAAAATGAACTGAGGTCACACAGTGGACATTGGGGACCCAGGATGTCTTCTGGGGTCTGTGATATGAGCCGTTGGTACTGGCACCACATTGCTTCCCTCTAAGGGGGTTGTCCAACCTGCTTGTGTTCCAGATGGGACAATGAGGCCTGGCCAGCTGATGTTACCTACTCATACTCCTGTATATATAGAGTATGAGGTGGGGTGAGGTCAGAGGAGGGGGCCCACTCCCATTGAGTTCAGAGCAGGCTTTCTGGGGTCGGGGGCTTCAGAACTAGGCTGCATGGGTGGGGTGGTTTGGGTAAAGAGAGACATCAAGGGGACGGGAAAAAAGGATGAAACTGGCATACCAGGAGAGGCACATGTGGGCACCCAGACTCCTTGCTGCAAGACCTAGAGTCCCTTCCGTGGCCCTGGAGGGGGCCGTGCTGTTGGAAAAGCTAGGCCCAGAGATCTGAGGGACGCCCAGGAGTCAGGAGCACTGTGCCCCCAAAACCTGAGGGCCAGTCCTGCCCGAGATGCTGGGAGGATGGGGGATTAGGCAGCACCCAGGGGATGCCTGGCCGCTGAACCCGGAAGGAGGAAGCTGCACAGGGTGTCTGTGGCTCTGCCGGGATCCCCTCACGGGGACTTCCTCTTCCTCTCAGGGCAGGTGTAACTGCCACAGCTGGACGACTCACCCTGACCCCGACATGGAGGGGGGCCAGGGGCACACACTTGAAGACTTCCTGAGAGGGAGCCTGGCCACCTGGGTGAGAAGCAGGAGGGAGTGAGGGGCTGCAGAAGGGAAGTGAGCCAGTGACAGGCGCCGGCTGGGGAGGGTGGGCTGGTCATGGGGGTGGAGTCCAGGGGAAGTGAGGGAGACCAAGGGATGCAGAACCTGTAACCAGAGGCATTTACTGCAACAGTGGGGAAGGGGTGCCGGGGCTCACTGGGGCAGGTCAGAGAGCCCAGGTTGTGTTCTGCTGTCCAGAGGACTCATTCTGTTCCCCACAGGCGCTGGGACTGGCTGAGCTAGTGGGGGAAGCGGAGGAGCCTTTGAGGACGGAGGAGGAGGAAGAGGAAGAGGGAGTTCTCAGTCTGGAGAAGAGGTTCCTGTGGCTCAGCGATGGGGCCCTGCTCCTCCGGGTGCTGGGTATCATGTAAGTGACAGGGGAGAGCTGGAGGAATCTGGGGAACCCCTCCCCCCAAGGCTGGTGGCTGCTGTTAGGGAGGTGGGTCCTCAGTCCACCTCTCACCCATGCCCCCTGTGCCGGTAGTGCCCCCATTTCCCGATGGGCACACAGGATGGCCAGCAGCCACGATGGACCTGAGGCCTGTAGGGTGTGGAACCTGAGCCAGCTGTGGATCCGACTCAGGGAATTCTACCAGGTGGGGGTTCAGGAGAGGAAGGTGGAGTGGGGGTGGGGGTGCCCTACAGGACGGTGCTCCATATCCCTGTCCCCTAATCCAGGAGGAGCTGCAGTTGCTGGTCTTGTTGCCACCCCCAGACCTCCAGATACTGGGGTTTGACCCCCTTTCAGGTACTCTCCCCCACTTCGCCCCCTCCCTCTACCTCACCCTCACCCCCAGCACCCCTGTAAACCATCTGGCTTATGCCCCACAGGGGAGGCAATGGAGGGGCTGGGAGGCTTGCTTCGGCTGCTGCTGGGGGCATCGGTGCAGGTGAGGAGTGGAGGAGAGGGACGGGCTGAGCTTTGGCACAGACATGGGGGACCCTGCCTCAGTCTCCCTGCTCCTGTTTCCATGCAGTGTGAGCACCGGGAACTCTTCATCCGCCATATCCAGGGGCTGAGCCTTGAAGTTCAGAGCGAGCTGGCTGCTGCCATCCAGGAGGTATGGGGCAGGTGGATAGCCCAGGGCTGGCACCATCCTCAGTGTCCCTGCGCCACTCACTTTCTTCCCATGAATTGCTCCCCATGTCCCTCCAGGTGACCCAGCCTGGGGCTGGTGTAGTGCTGACACTGGCTGGACCAGAGCCTGGGGAGCTGGCGCCTTTGGAGTTGGAGATGTTGTCCCGGAGCCTAATGGGGACACTATCCAGGCTGGCCAGGGAGAGGGACCTGGGGACTCAGGTTAGGTTAGGGGACTGCAGGGGCACTGTGGATCCAGATATGAGGGGAAAATGGGGGTCTGGAGCCCAGGTGTGGGATTGGGGTCTGGGTCTTCACCTATCAGGGTTGTCACAACCAGATTCATCTTGTGGTGGTTGGGGAGGATGTTGGCAGACAGAGGATGGTTAGTACTGACCCTTAACCCTTGACCTCCTTCAGAGACTGGCAGACCTGCTGCTGCAGCGAGAGCAGGTTCCCTTGCTGTCTGAGGCTCCTGGCAGGGCTCCCGCAGAGGGTCCTTCACACCACCTGGCGCTGCAGCTGGCCAATGCCAAGGCCCAGCTGCGGCGCCTGAGGCAGGAGCTGTGAGTGCCTGCAGGCTGGGGTGGAGACCTGCAGGGACGGAGGGACAGGGCCTGGAGAGGAGGGGGCAGGCCCAGGAAGGGGTAGGGTTGCGGCTCCTGGACACCCTCCCCTCCATCGCCCCTTCTCTCTAGGGAGGAGAAGGCCGAGTTGCTGCTGGACTCTCAGGCCGAGGTGCAGGGCCTGGAGGCCGAAATTCGAAGGCTTCGCCAAGAGGTGCGTTCAGATGCCGCCACCCGCCGCCACTGTCTCCCCGAACCGGTCTCACTGCCCCCTCTAGCCCCACTCCTTCCCATCCCCCATCCATCTGGTCCGCGGTCGGCCAGGCCCAGCTCTGCGTCTTTTGGCCCAGGCTCAGGGGCTGTCCGGACAGGCCAAGCGGGCCGAGCTGTACCGCGAAGAGGTGGAGGCTCTGCGGCAGCGGACGGGACGCTTGTCCCGACTGCAGGAGGATCTGGGGCGCTGTCGCCAACGGCTTCAGGCTGCAGAGGCTTGCAAGAGCCAGCTAGAGGTGAGGAGGAGGCGGGGCAAGCGGAAGGCGGGGGCCCATGGGAGGGGCGGGGCGCGCAGGAGGCGGGGTGGGGGGGGTTGGGCCTAGAGTGGAGAGGGTCTCGCCTTTTGGGGAGAGGGCACCAGTCATGACCGGGAGCAATCGGTGAGGGTCCATGCAGAGAGGCGGGACACGCCCTCTTGAGGGAGGCTGAGGGAGGACAGTGAGGGAGGCCGGGAGGGTCTTGGCCGGCCCAGGGCAAGGGGCTTGGAACCCTGAGGGCCCTGAAGGCACGTGGTGGGGCTGGGGGTGCCTCACACCTCAGGCCACGTTCTTCCTGTTCTCCCACTAGGAGGAACGCGCGCTCTCAGGAGCCCTGGAGGCCTCGAAGGCGCTGCTGGAAGAGCAGCTGGAGGCTGCCCGAGAGCGCTGTGCTCGACTACATGAGACCCAGCGTGAGAACTTGCTGCTACGCACACGGTTGGGCGAGGCTCATGCGGTGAGGTCGCCTGAGTGCAACCCCAAGATCCCCTAGGGTTCCCTGTGACCTCTACTCTTGGTGCTCTGTAGTGGCCTGCACACCTAGCCTGGCCACAGTGGGGAGGGCTGGGCTGACTCTGCCCCTGCACCCCCAGGAGCTGGACTCTCTTCGGCATCAGGTGAACCAGCTGGCAGAAGAGAACGTGGAGCTGGAGCTGGAGCTCTGCCGGAGTCTGGAGCCACCCCCAGACTCCCCTGCAGAGGGTGTGTAAGGCTCTAGGGTGGAGGTGCCTGTGTTTTCCTGCAGCTGTGGCAGAGGGCTTCGGTCCTCATCCTTTGTATGTGGGGAGCCAGGGGGCGTGGGCAGATGCTGACCTCCCTCATACTTTCAGCACCTCTGCCCAGAACAGCCCCCTCGCTGCAGGATGAGGTGAGGGAGGCAGAGGCAGGGCAGCTGCGAACCCTGGAGCGGGAGAATCAGGAGCTTCGAGCCCTGCTTCAGGTGTTGCAGAGGCAGCGAGGTGGCCAGGTGAGTCCCGCCCACCATCGAGCTGGCCCCTCCCTTCCCTCCCTGGGCCTGACTGTCCCTCTCTTGTGCCCTCAGCTCCCCCTGCTGGAGGAGCAGAGCAGGGAGTCAGTGCTTCTGGTACTGGATGGCACTTCCCGGACACCCTTGGCTTCTGACCTCAACCCCCAGGGCTTCTTTTGCCAGGTGGGGGATCAAGACCCCCAGCAGGCTCACCCTGCATCAGACTCAGGCCTGGAGGGATCAGCTGAGAATACCCAGGCATCTGACTCACACCGAGCAGTGACAGAGAGGCCTTTCCAGGCAGCTGCTCCAGCCTCCCAGACCTCACACTTGACTCCCCAAGAGTCACATGCTGGCGTGGAGGCACAGAGGTCCCTGGAGAAGCCTACCTCTGGAGCCCCTCTCCAGTCACCCATTTCTCTAGCCCCATATCAGGGTCCAGAGATCAAAATTGAGAAGCAGCAGTTGCTGGAAGGAGAGACTGGGGAGATGCAGCCTCCTCAAAAGGAGTTGATGCCTGAAGCCCAGGGTCTGAGAAAGGAACATCCTGAGCACAAGCAAGGCTCCTCAGAGCTCAGCCTCTGTGTGCTGCTGGAGAAGGAGACTGTGGGTCAGCCACTGGATGAGTCCACCAAATGGACAGAAGCCCAAGGGCATGAATGGAGGCTGGAGAGAATGGTTGGAGGACCAGCCCCTCCCTTACCAGAGCAGACCTCTAAAGATGCTCCTGATGCCAGGGCCTGGGAAGGGCCGATCTCAGAGGAAGCCCTGGGTAGTGGTGTCTCAGAGCAGGATGCCCTCAGGGAGGAGTTAGCACTGCTAAGGACAGAGGCTGTGGCTCTGGAGGCTGAGCTGGAGGCCCAGGCCCGAAGGCTGGAGGCCCGAGGTGCAGAGGTGGCCCGGCTCTCTGAGGAGCTGTCCCACGCATGTAGGGCAGAGGCTGAGGCCCATCGGGAGGTGGAGGCCCAGGTCCAGGAGCAGGCCCGGCTGCAGGAAGCTGTGGAGGCAGCTGGCCGGGAGCTGGAGGCTTTGTCACGGGAGCGAGAGGCACTGGCAGAGGCGCTGGCAGCAGCAGGTCGAGAGCGGAGGCAGTGGGAACGCGAGGGGCCCAGGCTGCGGGCTCGGGCCGAGGCTGCTGAGGAACGGGTACAGGCACTGGAGAGCCAGGGCCAAGACCGCCTGGAGGAGGCTGAGCGGGAGCGCCAGGAGAAGCAGGCCCTCAGCGAGGTAGGTTGGAGCTCTTGCCACAGGAGTCTGTGGCAAATGGGGGTCCCAGGGTAGTTGCTGGGGTTTGGGGTTATGGATTCCACTGGTAGTCACTGAGTACCCAGCACCAAGCTAGGCCGTCCACTCTGTCTTCCTAGGACTCAGCTGATGCCTGTGGCTGGTGATGGGGTGGACCTTGGGAGGGGTAAGATGCCTAGGTAGGTACAGTTGTGGCACTCTGGCTGTAATAGTTTACTCACCTCCTCGCTGGTGCCTCCTTCTGTAAAATGAGGTTGCCATTCCCAGCTGCCTCTGGGGCAATCAGGATGTAAAGGAGCTGGCTCCGAGTGGGCAAAGGCATGTTGTAAGTGACCAAGAAATGGTCATTCAGGGCAAAATGCTACAAGAGCCCTAAGGAGGAGGAGCTGCTCTCTAGGTGGGGGCAGGAGGCTTCAAGAAAGAATGACCAAGATTTCATTTGGTGGGGAAGGATGAAGCCTTTAAGGGGCCCAGGAAGAGTGAGGCAAGGGGGCCATCTTTGAAGGTGTTGGGATTCCATCCCCAGGCAGGGAAAGTCACCTGAAGGTGTGGGCAGTCCTCTGTGGGGCTGGGTTTGAGGAGGGTTACCTTGCTTGGCAGGGAGCCTGGGGTCACCAGGAGGCACTGGCAGTGCTGAAGGTAGCAGGTGAGGCTGGCAGGGGCAGGGACAGTGATAGAGGGAAGAGAAGGCCTGGACACACTTGTATTCCTCCATTCTCACACATTTTACAGGCCATGGCAGACCCCGTACCAGGCTTTGGGTGCATGGCCATGAGCAGGCTGCCAGCACCTTGGACTCAGGGTGTGGCTCATCTGGAAGGCTTCCCTGAGCAGAGTAGAGGCTCAAAGGGTTAAAGATAGCCAGGCATGAGTTGGAGGGGTGTGAGGTAGGGCTCCAAGAGGTGAGGCTGAGGATGGGTTAAGTAGGGTTCCTGCTTTCTTCCAAGCTGAGGAAGGAATTGGGGCTTGTTTAACAGTTGGTCCATGTTGAGAGATGCCTCAGGGGAAGTGGGGGACACCACAAGGCAATGAGAAGAGTATTGGAGCCAGTGGGTGGCAGTGTGGGGAGTAAGGGCCTCATGGATAAGGAACAGTATTTCCTGGCATGCACAGCTTTCAGGTCTGCCCATTGTATAGACAGGGGCACTGAGATTCAGAGAGGAGGAAGGAATTGCCCAGACCCCTCCTGATGGCAAGGAGTGGGTAACACACGGTTGGGTTGACTTGGGTTAGGCCTTGTGCAAGGCAGCCTGGTGGACGGGAGGTTGAGGAAGGTGAGTTGGCAAGGGTGACAGGTTGTGGAGAAGGGCTGTCCCTGGGGTCCACTTTGTACGATGTGACCAAGGGATGCCGTCAGGCCAAAGGAAATGCATCACAGCTCAGATCTGCTTTTCAGCTGGGTGGCTTGGGGTAAGTTACTTCACCTCTCTGAGTCTTGGTTTCCTTACCTGTAAAACTGGAATAAAAACTATACCTGGCTCCTAGAGCTTGTAAGATAATAAATGGAGAGAGCTTGGTGCAGTGTTGGCCCCTTATGTGCTATTTCTGGATAGAAGGATGCCCAGAGGGCAAATGAGGGTAGGGCTGGTGAGCCAGAAGAGCTGGCTGTGAGGACCCGGAGGGTAGAAGAAGCTGGAGACAAAGGGAATTTTGTGGGGTTTCCGGCTTGGAGCAGTTCCTTGTGCTGCCTGGGTGTGGTACAGGCCTTGCTGTCTGGCTGGGAGGTCAGGGAACTAGGGGCTTCCAGGTTGCCCTGTGGGCTGCAGCCAGGACCTGCTGGGGCAGGGAAGGGCTCTGGGCTGCTTCCTTTCTTCTACCTCCTTTCTCTACCTCAGCTGTTCTCAGGCCAATGTGGCTGTTGGTGGCTGGCCAGGCAGCAGTGCCTTGTGGGACTTGTAGTTTTTCAGCCACAGGCCAAGGCCATGAGTATCAGGAAGAGCATTTCCTAGGGCAAGGCTGGTAGGGCTGTTCAGCCAAGATGATCATTCAACAGTAGAGGCTTGCAGGCTTGGTTTCCAGGAGCAGGATGTGGCAGATCAGTGTCACCCTTCCTGTGGCTTCATCTTGTCAGGGCCCCTATGTGTCAAAATGGTTTGGCCTACCTCCTGGGTGGGCACAGGCCTGAAAGAACCTGCACCCCTCCCTCCAAAATGGTGTGTCCCAACTGCGGATCCCTGTCACCTGTTGTCCTCCACTGTGGTTAGGCCTGTGATCCCCAAAGTTCCTGTCCTGCCTACACACCAAGGCTGGCCCCTTGGAGTGGAGGATGTTCTTTAGGCCTAACTCTACTGGGCCCCTGTTGCTCCCACAGGGCTGATGTGATGCTCCGTAGGGCACAGCTCCCTGTTCCTGGGCACAGGAGGAGCTATGGCCTCAGAGAGGTGAAGACCCTTGCTGAGTGTTACCTCTGACTTGGCCCAGGGGCCACCTTCATGCCCTGCCTGACTTACAGCAGGCTTTGCTCCCATTTCATAGGTGGGACAGTAGAGACTCAAAGAGTTAAAGATAGCTGGGTGTGGTGGCAGATACCTGTAATCCTAGTACTCTGGAAGGCTGAGGAAGGAGCACTGTGAGTTTGAGCCCAGTCTGAGCAACTGAGTGACTTAGCAAAACCCTGTCTCAAAATTAGAAAAAAAAAAAAAATTCTTCTGGGTGGCCAAGAAAGGACAGAAGGGACAAAAAGCCAATGTCCCATGTTCAGGCCTGACTCCAGCCCTCTTTAGTCTCAGGAAGGTGGAGGGTCATTCCTGCCTCCTGAGCCAGCTCTGCCTGCCCTCAGGAGCTAGAGAAGGCCATGCTACGGGGCCAGGAGCTGGGGTCCCGCCTGGAGCACCTGCAGCAGGACCTGGAGCAGGCGGCCCAAGAGCGCCAGAAGTTTCTTCGGGAACAAGAGAACCAGCAGCAGAGGTGGGAGCTGTGCCCAGGGGTGGCAAAGGGAAGGGAGAGAGGCTGGGTGCCAAGCCTTCTTCTGGCAGGTACCAGGGCCTGGAGCAGCGGCTAGAGGCTGAGCTGCAGGCTGCAGCCACCAGCAAGGAGGAAGCGCTGATGGAGCTCAAGAGCAGGGCACTGAAGCTGGAAGAGGAGCTGCTCCAGGTGAGGCTGGCAGGGAGCTGGGACTTGCCTGTCCCTCCTGCCAGCACACAGCCCACATCCAGGGCTGCCTATGCCCTTCTTGTCCCTGGATCCTTGGCTAGCTACTTGAATCATATACCCTCTGGGGCTTTTGGAGGGAGTACTGTGTGGAGAGTCAGGCAGATGGGTGGCTGTCTCAGAATCTGTCCTCAATGGACAGAACCTCTGCTTTTGGTGGCTGCTCTGCATCTTTGGCTCCAGCTGTACCACTTCCCAGTGGCCCAGTTACTGATTTTTTTTTTTTCTGGTACCGGGGATTGAACTTGGGTCCTTGCGCTTGCACAGCAGGCGGCGAAACCACTGAGCTAAATCCCCAGCCCCCAGTTACTGATTGTTTCTGATGCTCCAATAAAGGGGTCAGGTTCATTGGTATGGATCCCTGTGCCATCCCCAAGCCACTACTACCTCCCCAAATGACCTCTCAGACCTGTCCTTGCAGCTGCGCCAGGGCCCTGTGGGGCTTGCTTCCGAGGGGCACTCTGAGTCACAGATTGCAGCGGCCCAGGGCAGCCGGCTCATTGAGGTGGAGCGCAGTGTGAGTGTGGGGCTGTAGGGGAGTGGGGGGCGGGGTGGTGGCGGGGAGCTGCCGGGCCACTGCTGACCTCACCTTCCGGACAGAATGCAACGTTGGTGGCTGAGAAGGCGGCTCTGCAGGGACAGCTGCAGCACCTGGAGGGGAAGCTGGGGAGCCTACAGGACCGGGCCCAGGAGCTGCTGCTGCAGAGTCAGCGGGCACAGGAGCACAGTAGCCACCTACAGGTGGGTGGCAGCTGGTGCCTGTTCCCTGCTCGCTCCCCCTTGCCCTTTTGTTATCATTTTGTGCCATTGCCCCTATCCCAGCTCTCAGCCAGCTGCCCCACATCTGATCCCTAGTCACATTTACCCCTCTCCTCTGACCCCAGCCATGCCGGTCTTCACCCCTTCCCCAGCCCCAGACCCAGCCCCATTTGTCCATCTCTGCCCTGGGCCTCCTGGCCTCCCCACGCAGCCTGGCCCCACCAGGCCCCACACTGGCTCTCTTCTCCCCTTGTCCACTGACTTCGGCCTTAGACTTCAGCCTCTTTTCCCTAGCCCCCGGCCTCTCTGCAGCTCTCTCCTTGTCTTCTGCCCTCTTCCCCCTGCCCTTTGCCCACTTTTTGGGCCTGGAGTCTCATCACCTCAAGTCTCCATTCTCTCCTCCTCCTAGGCTGAGAAGTCTGTGCTGGAGCTGCAAGGCCAGGAGCTGCACCAGAAGCTGGGGGTGCTGGAGGCAGAGGTTCGTGCAGCACGGCAGGCCCACGAGGAGGCGAGAGGGCAGCAACAGGCCCTGCTGCGGGACCACCAGGCCTTGGTGCAGCTGCAGCGACGGCAGGAGGCCGAGCTGGAGCGACTGCTGGGCCGGCACCGTGACCTCAAGGCCAAGATGCGGACGCTGGAGCTGGCCCACCGGGAGCTGCAGGGCCGGTGAGCCTCCCCCCAAATGCCCTGAACCCACTTGCCTGGACCCAGGATCCCTCAGCAGCTCTGACCCACCAGGAAGCATCGCATTGCCACAGCCAGCTCCTCTCTGTGACACCCCTGCATTGCTGTGCTCTCTTGAGGGTCTGGGATCCTGCACTTCTGGGCTGGGCTCACCTGTTGGTAGTGGTGGCACCTGGCATGGCCTTTTGCCCTGTAGCTTTGCCTTGGGAGGCTCGTGCTCAGGCGATGACAGATCCCTGGGTTCAAGCATCCCAGCATCCTCTTGCTATGGCCTGGGGCCCTGCAGCCTTCTTGGTCCCTTCCCCATTCAGGCATGACCAGCTGCAGGCCCAAAGGGCAAATGTGGAGGCACAGGAGGTGGCTCTGTTGGCAGAGCGTGAGCGCCTGATGCAGGATGGACACCGGCAGTGGGGCATGGAGGAAGAGCTTCGGAGGCTGCAGAGTGAACACGACAGGTACTTGCGCCTCAGGTTGGCACCCAGTGGTCCCATGTGAAGTAGGTTGGCTGCATTAGTCACTGTCTCTGGTGTGGGTTTCCTGGCTCTGGGAGAACAGCTGTCTTTGCCCCCAAGAGCTCAAGTGCTGCTGGCGGAGGTATCTCGGGAGCGCGGGGAGCTGCAGGGTGAACGTGGGGAGCTGAAAGGGCGGCTGGCGAGGCTGGAGCTGGAGAGGGCACAGCTCGAGGTACAGAGCCAGCAGCTGCGCGAGTCTAACCAGCAGCTGGACCTGAGCGCCTGCCGGCTGGCCACACAATGCGAGGTACAATGGTAGTGGCAGGGGTGGCCACTTAGGGTGGCTGAATGGAGGTCATCTGGGGAGAGTGGCCCAGGTATGCGTGAGCCAGCTCATCCCTGACTGATACCAATACCTGCAGCTGCTGACAGAGCTGCGGAGTGCCCAGGAGGAGGAGAACCGGCAGCTGCTGGCTAAGGTGCAGGCCCTGAGCCGGGAGAACAGGGAGCTGTTGGAGCGCAGTCTGGAGAGCCGGGACCACCTGCATCGGGAGCAGCGCGAGTACCTGTGAGCAGGCTGGGGGATCCCCCTGGGTGCCTCGGGAGGTCCCAGGAAAACCACTGGGGCTGACTAGCACTGATTGGTCTCACCTGTGGCAAGGTTGGCCATCCTGGCCACCCTAGGCCTCATGTCCACCCCTCCTTTTCCCTCCAACCAGAGACCAGCTTAATGCTCTTCGCCGTGAGAAGCAGAAGCTAGTAGAGAAGATCATGGACCAGTACCGAGTGCTGGAGCCTGGGCCCCTGCCCCGGACCAAGTGAGGACCCACCCTCCAGCTCCCCCGCTTCCAGCTCCAGGGTCTCAGCTGAGACCTTGCCACCTCACCCCCTCCCCTGTGTCCCCTGGCCCAGCTCAGGCACAGGCCTCAGTGAGGGTTGGCCTGGTCTTTGCCATATCTGACACAACCCTCCTCTTCTTCCTCCCTGTCCTGACCCTCTTGCCCCCAGGAAGGGCAGCTGGCTGGCAGACAAGGTGAAGAGGCTGATGCGGCCCCGGCGGGAGGGGGGCCCCCACGGGGGGCCACGCCTGGGGGCCGATGGGGCTGGCAGCACCGAGAGCCTGGGGGGCCCCCCAGAGATGGGGGGCCCCCCAGAGACGGAGCTCCCCGAGGGCAGGGAGGCAGATGGGACAGGTGGGTCTGGGGGCCAGGGTCTGCCTTCTCTATGTCCCCCCACGTACCTTCGGCCTCTGCCTCTCTGCCTGGCTGTGCCTGTGCCTCTGCCTGCCCAGATGCTTTTAGCAGCTCCTTAGTCTGGGCCCTGCAGGATCCATCTCGCTGGCACCTTCCTCTTACCCATGCTGCCACCCACCCAGTCCTACCTCATACATGGCAGGGGCTGGGGCCTGGGAGTGGCAAGGAGAGGGCATCTATCCTAGCAGCAGATGAGGAAACTGAGGCCCAGGAAGGGCAGGTGTCTTGCCCAAGGTCACACAGTGAGTTAGTGTCTGAGTCAGCACAGAGCCCAGCCTTGGGGGGGAGGGACTGCTTCTGTCCATCTGGCCCCTTCCCTGCTTTGCACCTCTCTCCCTGGCCCTGTGCACCTTCACTCACACTCTGCTGCTGGGGGGCCCCTCCCTGCACTCTGACACCCTCTGGACATATGCCTCTTGCAGGGGTCCCTTCACCAGCACCCATGCGCCGGGCCCAGAGCTCCCTCTGCCTTCGAGAGACCCTGGCTGGCAGTGGGCAGCGACGGAAACTCAGTTCCCGGCTTCCCACGGGGCGAAGCTCAGAGTCATTTAGCCCAGGGGATACCCCCCGGCAGAGATTCCGCCAGCGCCGTCCAGGCCCCCTGGGAGCACCTAGCACCCACAGCAAAGGTGAGGAGCCCGAAACTCCCTGTGGGCCCATCATCTTGGGTGAGGGGGCTTCCTTCCCATCCTGTGTCTGTCTCTGCCCTGGTCCCTGGGGCCAGGGTCTGCTTTGTGCCCATCAGGTGTGGAATGGGACGGCTCCGCTGAGACCCTCCAGGAACATGAAGCAGATGCCAACAGAGAGAGTGAGTGGGGTCTGGGGAGCAGTAGTATCTGTTCTTCCTGGGGCCCTGACAGTCCTCATCCATCCATCTTTCATCTGATGAGGATCTTTTACTGGGGACACAGCAAGGACATGCTGGGGTTGGGGTCACATAATAAACAGCACAGATACAAATAATCATAGCCTACCACAGCCTTGCCCAATAGAAGTACAATTTGACTTTTCTAGTGGCCTCATCAGAGAAAGGAACAAAAGCCCAGTGTGGTGGTAGACACCTGTAACTCCAGTATTCTGGGAAGCTGAAGCTGGAAGATCACAAGTTTGAGCCCAGCCTGGGCAATTTAGTAGATTATTGAGACCTTGCCTCAAAATAAAAAATAAAAATGGTCTAGGGATGTCACTCAGTGAGAAGGCCCAGGGTTCAATTTCCAGTACTAAAAAAAAAGGAAAAAACTGGAGGTAAAATGCATCTCAATAACATGTCTTATTTGTTTGGTTTTTCTTTTCTTTTCTTTTCTTTTTTTTTGGTACCGGGGATCAAACTTGGGTCCCTGCACTTGCGAGGCAGGTGGCAGAACCACTGAGCTAAATCCCCGGCCCCAGTTTTTTTGGTACCGGGGATCAAACTCAGGACCTTGTGCTTTTGAGGCAGGTGCGGTGCCACTGAGCTATATCCCTGGCACTATTTGTTTGTTTTTTGAGACAGGGTCTTGCTATGTAGTTTACTCTGGCCTTGAACTCACTATGTAGTCCAGGCTGGCCTTGAACTTTTCATGATTCTCCTGCCTCAGCCTGCAAGCACTGGTATTATAGGCGTGTGCCACCACACCCAGAAATAACATATTAACCTCAATATGCTTAAATGATTGCCATTTCAACATGTAGTCAGTGTTAAAAGTCACCAGTGAGACATCTGACATTTTTTCACATTGTCTTGGAAGTTCGGTGGTCATTTCACATGTGAGTACCTGCTGGTTCAGACCTGTCTCAGCTATTCAGCCCCCCATGCAGCTCAGCCTTGGAATATTAGGGAGTGATAATACTCAGGAGCACTGGAGGGTGAGCAGGAGCTGCAGCATGTTGGCCACCTTGGTGGCTGTGAGTCCTAGTAGTGGGCCTGTTCTGAGTCTTTTCCTCTAGGCCTCAAGGAGCAGGAACCGGAGAAACATCCCCTCGCCACATCCCTCAGCCAGTGACACAGTGGGGACACGGAGCTTGGGAGTGCAGCCCTCTCGACACTGGAGCATTAGTGGAAGCCCCAGGCAGCTCAAGAACTCGGGGGACCAGGGCACCCAGGGAGAATCCTTGGACAAAAAGGCCTGGGTTCCCAGGTCCTCCACTGCCCACTCTGGGGTCCTTGGATGGAGTTTGGATCAATTCGTGGACAGAGGGGATGGCTGGTCCCCAAGAGTGGCCCCTTGGGGCCCTGGATCTGCTGTACAGCCATTACTGAGGAGGTGGTCTCTGGGGCATCCCCAAGCTGAAGAAGGTTGGCTGGAGTGGGGAAGAGCACCCCCTGTCTGGTCCAGATTGAGAGCCAAGACCCATTCCCTGAGGAGTGTGGCCTAGATTGCTCTCTCAGCCTTTGCCTGGACTTAAGGGACACAAGAATAAAGCTGAGATGCAACCACCCAAATCTGTTCTGTGTCTACTGGCTGCATCCGGGCACCTGGAGGTGTCAGGACTCCATGACCCAAGCCTCCTGGCCAGAGGACGCTACCTAGACAGCGGCAAAGGGCCCTGGAGGATGGCTAATCAGGCTCACTGAGGCCTGGAGATACCATGGGGTGGGAGGGGAATGACGGTTTGGGAAGCCAGCAGTGGGTGGGGCCTGGGATCTGGTCCTTTTTTCTCCTTCCCATCTTCCTGCTTCTTCAACTTCTCTCCCCAACTCCTTTGGGAGAGAGCCCTTTGGGCTCTCACAGGCAGCAGGCGTCACCTAGTGCCAGGGGCTGCCACAAGAGGTGGGAGGGATGACTGGGAAGGGGGACGATTAGGCTAGGTGGCAGGATGTGAGTCAGGTCACCTGGAGCCATCCAGGTGGGTGGGGCTGCCTAGAGCTGAGATGAGGCAGGCTCAATTGGGAGTGGGCTGAGCCCTGAGGCCTGGCCAGTCCTGCCTCCCTGGGGTGACTTGCAGCAGCCTTATTCCCTCCTGCTCCACAGGACAGTGCAGTCAGGTGACCCCTGAGCCTCCAGCAGGCCAAGGGGACAGCCCCTTCTATGACATTCTGTTTTTTAAAGAGATATAAATAAAATTAATTTTATCCCATTTCCCCCTTCAAGCCCCCTCCCCTCCCTATGTACAAAAGCTTTATTTCCATTTTTTCCTTCTATTTTCACTTTTTTTCTTGTCCCTTCCTTTCCCCCTCCCTCCTCCCTTGTTCCCCTTCCCATTTGAACACTTTCTTCCCATTTCCCAACATCCTTTATATACATTTCAGTCCTTATTTATTTTTTATTTTTTGGTACTGGGGATTGAACTCGGGACCTTGTGCTTGCGAGGCAGGCCCGGAACCACTGAGCTAAATCCCCGGCCCTTTTTCAGTCCTTATTTTGACTTTTGGTTTTTTACACCAGAGAAACAATTTGGTATTTAAACATGTGTGTCTGATTTATTTCATTTACGAGTATAGTCTTAACGTCCATCCATGTAGCTATAAATGTCTGAAGCTCATCCTTTATGGCAGAGTAGTATTCCATTGTATAAAACACATTTTCTTTTTGTTTGGTACTGAGGATCAAACTTGGGTCCTTGTGCTTTAAAAACACATTTTCTTGGGCTGGGGATTTAGCTCAGTGGTTCTGCCACCTGCCTCATAAGCACAAGGACCTGAGTTCGATCCCTGGTACCAAAAAACAAACAAACAAACAAAAAAACCACACATTTTCTTTATCCACTCATCTGACATTCCTTTTTGAGGCTATTTCCAATACCCTCAGCCAGCCCATCTTGGAGAGTCAGAGCCAGGGTCCCAGGAGTGATAGGTGCTGAGGGGAAGCAGGGTGGGTAGCAGCTGGCTGGCGCTGTGCATCCCTCAGGGGGACATAGAAACCTTTTATCTGCAGCTTCAGGGAGTGATCCGAAAGGAGAGGGTGGCTTGTGATTTGTCACTTTCACTGGTGGTCAAGATAATTGAAGAGGGGAGGCTTGGCTGCCCTTGGGGCTGGCCCTGGGGGAGGGGCTGTGTGAAGGCCTGGGTGGGCATGCCTCCCTGGGCTTGGGGCATAGGCTCCTAGTGCCCTCACACCGAGGGCTGCAGGCCTCCGGGCAGACACCTGGCTTTGGGCACAGCCCCAGTGGCAGCCTGGGTTATCCAGCGACAAGGCTCACACAGGGCTTCTCCAGCTCCGGGGAAGGTCGAGTGGGGTCTCTGTGTGCACATTCTGGATGCTCTGCCTGGCTCAGGAGACAGGGTCACCCCGCTGCGGTTTGCCCACCCAAAGCCCTGTGCTGTCACGTTCCAGCTGCCTGACTCAGACCTCACGGGGCGGGGAGCCGGGAGGCGGTGCCGGGCGTCCGCTCGGCCCCAGAGGCGGCACCAGGAAGCGCCCGCCCCGGCCAGAGCCGCCATGTAACCGGCGCCGCCCGCCCTGAGCCCCAGCTGCCTGGGCCCCAGCGACCCACCCGCCATGGGGGACGAAGATGAGGAGGAGGGCTGCGCGGTGGAGCTTCGGATCACAGAAGGTGGGCGAGGGGACCGGTGAGGGCTGCCCAGGCGGCCCGGAGGGGTCAGGGACTGGCTGTGCTCATTCCCCCCCTGTGCCTGCAGCCAATCTGACGGGGCATGAGGAGAAGGTGAGCGTGGAGAACTTCGAGCTGCTCAAGGTGCTGGGCACGGGAGGTGAGGATCCAGTCCACTGGGCAGGCGACCCAGGCATGGTGCTTTGGGCCTCCTACCCACACACCCGCCGGGGCCTGGGTTAGGCCACTGAGGAGGCCCCCCACCCTTTCCCCACACAGCCTGCCTTCCCCGCCCCGCCCTACCGTGCCAAGGTTTCGTGCCCACTTCCAGGATGCTCCACAGCAAAGTCCTGTGTGTGCACGTCCCCTGCTGGGATTTGCCAGCCTCCTTGGGGGCTTGCACCCCACCCAAGTGATTTGCACAGCTCCTCCCCTTCTCCTGAAATGAGAGCCCCTTCCCACAGTTTGCAAACTTCCAGCCCGGTTTGCATATCGCTCCAGCTCGAGTGTGCCTCTGGCTCTCTTGCATTTGCATCCTTTCTCCTCCCTCTGATCTTTCTCAGGTTTGCACATGCCCTACCCCCACTCCTGGCTGCAGGCCTCCTGGGTTTGTACATCCCTTCCTTGGTTTTGCTGGGCACCCTCCAGGGGCATGCACACCTTTTCCTTAGAAGGCTCTGCTTGTATTTTGCACACCTGCCTCTCACTTCCAATTTGCACTTGAGCTGGCACCATCACCACCCCCAGCGGTCTGCACCATCCTCCCACTCACAACCCACCCTCTGCCCGATCGCCGCTCCCACAGCCTACGGGAAGGTGTTCCTGGTGCGGAAGGCAGGTGGGCACGATGCAGGGAAGCTATATGCCATGAAGGTGCTGCGCAAGGCGGCGCTGGTACAGCGCGCCAAGACACAGGAGCACACGCGCACAGAGCGCTCGGTGCTAGAGCTGGTGCGCCAGGCGCCCTTCCTGGTCACGCTGCACTACGCCTTCCAGACGGATGCCAAGCTGCACCTCATCCTGGGTGAGGGTGCACATGTACTGGCCTGGGGTGGGGGGAACCCGGGAGCAGGCAAAGCCATAGTCTGGACTGGTCCTAACCTCCATGGCATCCCCAGACTATGTAAGTGGTGGCGAGATGTTCACCCACCTTTACCAGCGCCAGTACTTCAAAGAGGCTGAGGTGCGTGTGTACGGCGGTGAGATCGTGCTGGCTCTGGAACACCTGCACAAGGTGGGTGAGGTCCTGGCCTCCTGGCTGCACCATGGTAACTGGGCCTGATGAGTGGCCTACAAACATGGCAGGCTTGGGTTTTTCCTGGGCCTCTGGGGCTGAGGGTAGCTCAATGGGGATGGGGCTGCTGCCCTGGCCTCCTGTCTGATGGGGTCTCCTCCTTGGCACCTCCTTGGTGGGGCTTTCCTCTCACAGGGAACTTGAGGCTGCCTCTACTGAACTTCCTCAAATGGTGGCCTCATGTCTTGGCCCCCGAGGCCTCCTAGAACCAGGCTCTTCACACACTCTGCTGTCCTCTCCCAGGGTGCTTGGGCCCTGTCCCATGGGGGCTCATTCCTTGCTTTATATCTTCAATGGCCTTTCTTAGCTAATGGCCCAGCTCTGGCCCTGGCCCACTCCTGCCGTGGAGCCCCCTCTGCAGGCAGATTACCTCCTCCAGGGGTCTCCTTATCCTGGGCCTGGTGCAGGGATGAGAGCTGTAGGGACTGGGGAGGTCCTTGGGGTGGAAATCTCAGTGTCCCTCTTGTTCCTAACAGCTGGGCATCATCTACCGAGACCTGAAGCTGGAGAATGTGCTCCTGGACTCGGAGGGCCACATTGTCCTCACAGACTTTGGGCTGAGCAAGGAGTTCCTGACAGAGGAGGTGAGTGGGCACCAAGCAGGCTTCTTCCTTCCTGTCTCTTCCTGCTCCATGCTTGTGTTTGGGGGTGCAGAGTGAATAGATCCAGAAGTTCCCACTGCTCGACCCTCCAGCTGCACAAGTCAAGTGAGTCCTGCTCTGAGCCTTGGGCGCCGCTAGGGCCCAAGAGCGGCTGGGATGTACAAACTGGTCCTCTTGTCCTCCCAGAAAGAGCGGACCTTCTCCTTCTGTGGCACCATCGAGTACATGGCCCCTGAGATTATCCGCAGCAAGGCAGGGCACGGCAAGGTGGGTTGGTGGGGAGGCAGGGTGGGGTGATGGGTGAGAGGTGAGGAGGCCTGGAACCTCACCCTGCCTGGCCCCACAGGCTGTAGACTGGTGGAGCCTGGGCATCCTGCTCTTCGAGCTGCTGACAGGCGCCTCACCCTTCACACTAGAGGGCGAGAGGAACACACAGGCTGAGGTGTCTCGGTGAGCGGGGCCCTTTATGGAGGGCATCAAGGGGCTGCAGGGCCTGCCTGGGCTGGGCTGGGGGGGGGGCTTGCTGCCCCTGACGCCCACCCATCCTCCCAGACGGATCCTGAAGTGCTCCCCTCCCTTCCCTTCCCGGATCGGGCCCGTGGCACAGGACCTGCTTCGACGGCTGCTGTGCAAGGACCCAAAGAAGCGGCTGGGTGCGGGTCCCCAGGGTGCACAGGATGTTAAGAACCACCCTTTCTTCCAGGTGAGGTTGCTGCTGCTCTGGGTGGGAGGACACAGGAGGGATGGGCTGAGCTGAGCCTGGCTAAGTTCCCTCTATGGGAAAGGCCCTGGTGATCAAAAAAACAAGTCTGTGTCAGTAGAGGCTGTTTCCTCCTATCCATCTCCAGGGAAGCTGGGAAAGTACTTTCAAGGTTCATTGGCTGTTGGGTTTGGCAAGGACTTGAGAAGGGACTGGTCAGCCCTTTCACAGGACAGACCCAGAGAAGGGAGGACCTGCCTGAGATGTCACAGGAAATGGTGCAGAGCCAGGGTCTGATCTCTAGATAGGTCTCTTGTTGGCCCAAAGAGCACTCAAACTCCCACTCCTGTCTCCTAGCATCCACCCAGGGATTTTGCTCTTTGTTTTGCACAGTCTGTGTGCCTGGAGTTCACAGGGACCACTGGTCAGCCCATTGGGTGTCTGATCACCTGCTAAGTGCATTCCCCTATTAGAGTGTGCCACACAGTGGATTGCGTCTCACTGTGAAAGCCTGCTACAGCACTGCCTAACTGAATCCTGTAACCCTACCATAGGTTGGCCCTTGGCCTATGTAGTTTCATTTACTGTCAGGACCAACCCCCCCCACCATTGTCTCCATCTTTACTGATGCAAAAACTGAGGTTCAGAGAAGTTAAGTCATTTGCCCGAAGTCACCCAATGGGTAGTGATAGAATTTTACACCTGGGGCTGGGTGACTCCAGTGCCCATGCTCTTATCCTTCTTGTGCTTCTGTTTACAAGTGGGCGTCATATTGGCCAAGTTTGGTGCGGTAAGGGCAACCACTTACAAGTTCTTATGTGGTCAGGTCCTCTTCTACTTGGGCTATGAGTGCAGTCCCAAGACTTCTGGCAGTTCTCACCCAGAAGGGCCTCCTGAGCTGCTCTCTCAGACAGGACTGTTTCCCACCGAGGCCATCCCTTTGCAGTGTGTGTGGAGTCACTGAGCTGGTTGGTTTCTTTCTTTTTTTTTTGGCACCGGGGATCGAACTCTGGTCGTTGAGCTTGCGAGGCAGGCGGTTGCACTACTGAGCTAAATCTCGAGCCCTAACTGGTCAGTTTCTTGCAAAGAATTCCTGGCTCCCACCCTGAGGGTGCTGAAAGTGGGCTGACCAGTCATGCTGGAGAGGCCCCAGGGTCGGAAGGATGGATGCTGAGAAGGATTCCCTGCATTTACCCTCTCTGTGGACAGCCTCTTTGGTGAGAGAGCAGAGCTGAGATCCCTGGTGGCAGAACCGGGACCTTCAAGTCTGAGTCTGGTCTCTTGACTGCAAGTGACAAACAGTCCAACTCAAGGTGGTGGAATAGCCACTGGAATGGAATATGGGTGCATGTAACAGAGATCAAGTGGACAAGGACCTGAAGACAGAGGCTTCTTTCTTTCTTCTTCTCATGTAAAAGAAGTCCAGAAGTTGGCAGGCTAGGGCTGTTGTGGTGTTTTCACAGTGTCACGGTATCTTCTTTAGGAATCCAAGCTCCTTCTTTCTGTTCTTTTTTTTATTAGTAGTACATGTTTGTGATACATAATGAATACATTCATGGTGGGGAGTTGGTATATCACATATCACACCTTAAACTTCCTTCTTTTTTTTTTTTTTTTTGGTACTGGGGATTGAACTCAGGACCTTTCACTTGCCAGGCAGGTACGGCAACACTGAGCTAAATCCTCAGCCTTGAATTCCCTTCTTTCTGTTCATCTTCCCTCCCTCTATTCTTAGCTTGTAGCCTCCATCCCCAAGGCTGCTCTGTGGCCCTCAATGGCTGCTGACTGCCATCTAGGCTGCTCACTAGACAGGAAGAAGGGCAAAAGGGCACTTATTGGGCCCAGGATGTAGCTCAGTGGCACTGTGCCTGCCTGGCAAGCGCAAGGTCCTGAGCTCAATCCCCAGTACTGGAAAAAAAAAAAAAAAAAGGGCACTTAACTACTCACCTCATACTCGAGGTTCTTCTCCTGGACTCCTACTTGACAATTTTTGCTTACAAGTTGCTGGGTACCCCTAACTGCAAGGACATATTTGTAAAATAGTGTCTTTTAGTTGTGTATATTGGTTTCTGGAATAAAATTGAGACTGTGGTGCCAGTGGATACTGGGTAGACGATTAAGATTAGCTTAAACATAAAAGGGTGGGCCGGGGATTTAGCTCAGTGGTTTCGCCGCCTGCTGCACAAGCGCAAGGACCCAAGTTCGATCCCCGGTACCAAAAAAAACCCAACCAAAACACAAACATAAAAGGGCATATTTTCACCCCTGTAGGGAACTGTCCAGGGAAAAGTATCTGACTTCAGGCAAGGCTGCATCCCGGTTCTTGGTTCTGCTTTTCTGCATGGGGACCTCATCATTAAATTTTAGGCGAGTCCACACGAGTTCCAGACCCACGTCCTTCCAGATTTAACTCCAGCAGGAAAAAGAGATGTTTCTTTCTTATGCTCTATTACAAGTTCCAGAACTAAGTGTGGTGTAGTGGCAGTTGTCCAAGGGGAACAGGGATTCTGTTACCAGAGGGAGGGAAGTGGAACCTGTGGGGTGGGGTAGGAAGAACAGAGCCATTTCTAATGTCGGATGTGCCCCCTCCTTGCTGGGGTGCTCCTGGTGAGGGGCCTGGAGTGGGGTGGGCTCTCCATTCCTGCCCTTTGGCCCTCACCCCTGACTCCCTTTCTCCAGGGCCTGGATTGGGCTGCTCTGGCTGCCAGGAAGATTACAGCCCCATTCCGGCCCCAGATTCGCTCAGAGCTGGATGTGGGCAACTTTGCAGAGGAATTTACCCGACTGGAGCCTTTGTACTCACCCCCTGGCAGCCCCCCACCTGGAGACCCTCGAATCTTTCAGGTGAATGAGAACTCATGGAACCCCAGATGCAGGATGCTGGTGCCTGCCTCTATCCTGCTCTCTGGGGACACTGCATTGGCCCTGTGTCCTTGAGACCAGCATCTACCCCTTAGGGGTCACTGGAGCTGCAGTTCATGGAGGCTGCTGTGGCGGGGCATGTGTTTGATGGCTCAGTTTGTCTTTAAACTTCATCTTCATTTCCCTTCTGTTTCCTCATCTCCTTGTGGTTATATAAAAATATTGCTTTCAACTAGGCACTTGCTTACATGGGCACTTGGGAAGAGATGGCCTATTGGCATTATGTACATTGAAAGCCCCCTCCCCACACCTTTTGAGACAGGCTGGTCTCGAACTCCTGACAATCGACTTAGTCTCTGGGGTGCTGGGATTACTGGAGTGCACCAGCATGTCTGGCTCAACCTTAGAAGCTCAACCTGTCAGACAAGACTCAACTCCTTTGCTTGGCATTTGAGGCCCTCCATGATGTGGTCCTTGCTGGGTTCCTCAGCTTTAGGGCTCACTATTATCCTACCCCATGCTCTGGAGGGCACCACTGAGTGCCCAGAGGCCCAGGACATACCTCTGCGCCTCTGCACATGCTGTCCTCTACCTGGAACACCCTCCCTACATTAGTCATCTGCCAAGCCCCCACTCATTGATCAAGTGTCACTGTCCACTCACCTGGCCCACTGGCTCACTCTCCCCTAATGCACCAGCTCTCTGCAGACAGCACCTATGCTGAGCAGTTTGTCCTCTTGTGTCTTGACTCCTCCAGCAATCCCCTTGGGTGGAGCCATGTGTTCCTAGGCCCAGCTGGGGGCCTGGCCTGCGGGACATGGTCCATACACATTAAATGAGAACAGATCAATATCATGGATGTTGGGTCGGTTTCCTCTGAAATTCAGAACTGACAGCTCTGTACTCCAATTCCCTGGTTGCACTGTCTCAGTCTAATAAGAAAGTTCATGTCTGTGAATCATTGGTTACTTTATTCATTCATGTAATGATTCAAAAACATGTATTTAGGGCCTGTTCAGTGGTGCATGCCTGTAATCCTAGCTTCTTGGGAAGCTGAGGTGGGAAGATCAAAAGTTTGAGGCTAGCCTGGGCAACTTAGTCAGACCCTGTTTCAAGTAATAATAAAAAGGGCTGGGGGTAAGGGTCATTGTAGAGTGCTTACCTAGCATTTGGGAGACTCTAGGTTTGATTCTTAGCACTCCAAAACAAACAAATGAACAAAGCCGCCTAAAGCCCAATTATGTATACAACGTGCCAGGGATCAGTCTTGGCCAAATCCTGCCTGTGTGCTTCTTGTGGTCTAGTGCACAGTGGGGTACATTTTTAGGGTAAAATAGCACACAATTAAAATTACCCTTGAAAATTTCTGAAATTACCAGAACATAGATCCTTAGGAAAGGCAAAGAGTTGATTTTGTTTCTTTTTGATTCCTCAGTAGCTCTGCCTTGTAGAGGAAGCCAAAGTCTAGTTTGAAGGGGAAGAATAAAGTTTTTTCCTCTTCTCCAGTAGACAGGGTTGAATTCTTTTAAGGGTGGATGATGTCAGACCCCAGTCCTTTCCTGCACCAGCCCATCATTTTCTGGGTCACTTATTTGTGTCAGGCGTATTTTTTGGGGTTACTGATGAGAGAGGTGGGGTTACAGGCTGGTGGGGGAACAGGTATGACCCCTAGAGATGATAAGAAAAAGTGGAATAAAATGTGTCCACACTTCCTTTGCCTGCCAGGATGCCCCCCGCCCCCGACCATTCCCCAGGTCTGGGGCTCCTGGGGCTCCTCACCTATAGGCCCATCCTGCCCTACAGGGATACTCCTTCGTGGCCCCCTCTATCCTGTTTGACCACAACAATGCGGTGATGACCGATGTGCTGGAAGTGCCTGGTGCTGGAGACCGGCCAGGCCGGGCAGCAGTGGCAAGGAGCGCCATGATGCAGGTGGGCTGGGCTGGGGGAGCATCTTTCTGTGTGGCACCTGGGTGGGCCCTCTGATGCATCCCCTTCGCTTCCAGGACTCGCCCTTCTTCCAGCAGTATGAGCTGGACCTTCGGGAACCTGCACTGGGCCAAGGCAGCTTCTCTGTGTGTCGCCGCTGCCGCCAGCGCCAAAGTGGCCAGGAATTTGCAGTCAAGATCCTCAGCCGCAGGTGAGTGCTTGATGCTGGTGGCCTGGGTGCATGGGCCTGGGTGGCCACTCTGACCCACCTGGCCCTCTGTTGCCAGGCTGGAGGCAAACACACAGCGTGAAGTGGCTGCCCTGCGGCTGTGCCAGACACACCCCAATGTGGTGAACCTGCATGAAGTGCATCATGACCAGGTGATGGCTTCCCTGCTGGAGTGGACACAGGGACTTAGAAGGCCTATGTTTGGGAAAGAGGTCTAGCATCAGATGTAGGGACCTGGGGGACCAGGGAGTGGTGAGAGGTGGGTCTTGAGGGGAGGAGGGCCTGAAGACTGGAAGGCCAGCCTGAAGAGGCCTGGGGAATTCTTGGGTGGTGACCATGAACCTATGTGCTCTGCCTATAGCTGCACACCTACCTGGTCCTGGAGCTGCTGCGAGGCGGGGAGCTGCTGGAGCACATCCGAAAGAAGCGGCACTTCAGCGAGTCCGAGGCCAGCCAGATTCTGCGCAGCCTGGTGTCAGCCGTGAGCTTCATGCACGAGGAGGCCGGTGTGGTGCACCGTGACCTCAAGCCTGAGGTGGGGGCCTGCCCAGGGTTCTCAGGTGGGCATGGGGTGGGGGTTGCCTCTGACCGCCAGCTCTGGCTGCCCTTGCAGAACATCTTGTATGCCGACGACACGCCGGGGGCTCCAGTCAAGATCATTGACTTTGGATTTGCGCGGCTGCGGCCGCAGAGCCCTGGGGGGCCCATGCAGACGCCCTGCTTCACACTGCAGTATGCGGCCCCCGAGCTGTTGGCTCAGGGTGGCTATGACGAGTCCTGCGACCTCTGGAGCCTGGGTGTCATTCTGGTATGGCCGATCCCAGGGGAACCCCGGAAGGTCCCCGATGCGCAGCAGCCCTGGGTAGGGGAACAGGAGGCTTCGGTGGGGGTGGCTGGGTTCCGTCTGAGGCTGGGAACCGCGTCGCGTCCTCATATGGAGGCAGGGTTGCCACGGGCTGGGGCAGGCATGGACACAAGATGGGTTCTGCCTTGGGGTATCAAGAGCTAGCCCTCGGGCAGGGGAAATGGCTCTACAGATGGACCAAGGTCCAACTCACCCCCCTCCCGGGTCTTCCTAGTACATGATGCTGTCGGGACAGGTACCCTTCCAAGGGACCTCAGGCCAGGGCGGGCAGAGCCAGGCAGCCGAGATCATGTGCAAGATCCGAGAGGGCTGCTTCTCCCTCTCTGGAGAAGCCTGGCAGGGTGTGTCGGAGGAGGCCAAGGAGCTTGTGCGAGGTGCTTGCGGGGCTGGAGGCTGCAGGCCTCAGGCGTGGGCGGGGAAGGGAGGCCCTGTGGTATCAGCTGGGGCAGGTGCGGACCCTGGATCCCATGGTGGGGGAGGAGAGTGGGGCTGTGGGGACCTCTCTGGGGCACAGCCTCCACCCGAGGCCTCCCCAGCACTTCATCGCCCACCTCCAGGGCTCCTGACTGTGGACCCCGCCAAGCGGCTGAAGCTCGAGGGGCTGCGGGGCAGCTCCTGGCTGCAGGACGGCAGCGCGCGCTCCTCGCCCCCGCTGCGCACGCCGGACGTGCTCGAGTCCTCAGGCCCCGCGGTGCGCTCAGGGCTCAACGCCACCTTCCTGGTACGGAGCGCGGGCTGGCGGAGCTGCGGGCGGCCGGGCGGTGCCAGGGCCTTGCAGAGGTGGGGCGAGCCTGGTCTGGCTCCTGGCCCGAGGGTGTCCTGAGCTCTCCGCAGCTGGGGCGCAGGGCGCTCAGCCTCCCCTTCCACCAGGCGTTCAACCGCGGCAAGCGAGAGGGCTTCTTCTTGAAGAGCGTGGAGAACGCACCGCTGGCCAAGCGCCGCAAGCAGAAGCTGCGCAGCGCCGCCGCCGCCCGCCGAGGCTCCCCTGCGCCCGCCGCCACCAAGGGGGCCCCCCGCCGAGCCAACGGCCCCCTGGCCCCCTCCTAGCCCTTGCCACGGTGGCCTGCCTGGGTCCCCAGGAGTTGCCTTCCCTCCTCCCCATCCACTCCCCGACAGAGCAGAAGTATTTTTATAAGCAGAGCAATTTTTTATGTCTTATCAGGTAGTTAGGGCTGCAGGGAAGGAGGGGCCTACGGGAGAGTGGGTGTGGGGGCCTCTCGGGAGACACCTCTCGCCCAGACAGGGGGCCCCTCCCAAGGAGCTGCGCCATTGGAAGGGCTTCTTCCTACTCCAAGCACTGAGTTGCCACGGGGAGAAACTGGGACCCCTCCCCTGTTCTCCTCTGAGGCCTTGCTCCTTGGAAGGAGGTCCCCGTAAGCTGTCACTTTATGGACTGTTTGTGCAATTAAGTCCACCACAGCCTGTGTGGGGGTTGAGCTAGAGACCCTGGGGGCCCTTAGAGCGTTTCTGGCTCACTTTGTCACCTGCTTCTCCCCTGTTGGGGCTAGGGAGGGAGGTACGCAGCCCCTAAAAGGGGAGGCCCCCTTGTCTCCCACCACTCCCCTTTGGCACAGCTGCTCCTGACTAGGGGTGGGGCCTTGAGGGGCTGGGCTGGGCACCCACCAGTCACTGCCCCAGCCCATCCAGGCTGTGCCTTTGACTTTGAAATAAAGTCTACCCAGTGCTGTGTGTGGCATCTGTGTACTTGGGGTTGTAGTGTGGGTATCTGGGGCAGGTGGACTGCTAGCCAGCAGAATCTGGGACCTCAGAGAGGAGGGACTGGCAGAACCTTCAGGGGCAAGAAGGTATCTTTGTCTTGTATTTTAAAAATATGTAATTTAACTTCTTTGAGATAGTGTCTTGCTATGTAGTTCAGGCTGGTCTTGAACTCACTGTGTAGCTCAGGTTGGCTTGAACTCCCAGTAATCCTCCTGCCTCAGTCCCCTGAGTGTTGGGACCACATGTGTGCTGCCCTGCCCCACCAGTCTTTGGTTTCTGACGTGAGCAGTAGGAAAGCCAAAGTCTCATCTTGAGTGTGTAATCTGGACAGCTCTGCCATGTATCATTTAGGAGTCTCTTGGTTATCGTTGAAAACCTAAACCTGCTTGAGAAAAACACAGGATTTCTTTTAAATGTTTTTGTAATTACACAGTGCAGTGGTAGCTTCAGGTAAGGGCTGATCTGGATTTAAACACAATCTCAGCTCTTTATTCTGCTTTCTTCCTGATGTTCAAATCTGGAAGACTCTTCTTACAGCCCCAAAATGTGTGCCAGCTGCTCCAGAAGCTACAGATTGAAAATCTGGGGATAGAGTATTTGTTGAAGATGCTGTCACTAGATTTCAAGTCTAATGTTCCCAAGGGAAGTCCTGAGCTGTACTCTAATTGGATCCACTAAGGTCATGTACCCACTGTGAACCAATCCTGTAGCCAGGAATGCCACATGCTGATTGGCTTAGATCAGGCTCATAGACTTCCCCTCTGGAAACTCAGTGGGTAGAGAGCAAGGGAAGGGTTGGGTCCAGGGGAGCTCAGCAGGCTTGCCTCAGAGGCCTTCACTGTGATCAGAGCAGTGTGGCATGGCAGGGTATCAAGAAGTGTTTAAGGCTCCTCTGTGGGTGATGCTTGCTGGGTTGCAGTGGCCATGGGACAGTTGTGGCCTAAGCACTTTTGCTGGCAGCCCAGATTGGGGTCTTTGTCCATTCAGTGTGGGTGGCCTGGACAGCACTTTGAGGTGCCTCCCCATAGGGCCTCTCCCCATAGCTGCCCTTTGGGACCATTGCCTGTGGACCATCCCCTCCCAGCCTGAGGTTTATGTCTTAGAGGGAAGGTACCTGGAGGCCTGGGGATTTGAGCTGGGGCCCCAGAGGTACCAGAGTCTGGGCAAAGCCAGGCAGGTGTTGGTTTGGTGGGCAGCTAGGGCCTGGTGAGTAAATCAGGCAGTTGGGTGGTATGGGAGCACCCAGCTGTGTTCCATCTTGGTAGTCTGAGAAGGCTGGGAGGACCCAGGACGAGGCTTCCAAGAGGAGGGGGAGAGGGGAAAGTGTCTCTAATTCTTTTTTTTTTTTTTTTGTATTGGGGATCGAACTGAGGACCTAGCACTTGCTAGGCAGGCAGCGGCACCACTGAGCTAAATGCCTGGCCCTGAGCATCTCTAATTCTGAATCCTGTATCCCCCACTCTGCCCAGGATATGAGCAAGTCACCAAATAGCCCCAGGCTTCCCCATGTGTCCAGAGGAGGAAGTCGAGAATCAACAGATGTAAGATTGTGGTCATTCAACCAACAAGCGCTTACTGAGATTTACTGAGCTCTTTCTACATTCAGGCTCCTCCTGAGCGCTCTCTGTGGGAATCTCATTTAAGGTCGGGAAAGCATTCCATTGCATCCTCCTGCACTGAGTGTTACCATTAAAAAAATCTCTGCACATTTGATGGATTAAATTTTTTCTTTCATCTTCAATTTTTCCACTTCTCATGACGTGTGGCTCACAACCTCTCTATGAAAGAGTTGTCCTTAGCCTTGTTTCACAGGTGAAGGAACTGGGGCTCAGAGGCTGGAAGAGGGAGAAGAGGGGTGCAGGGGAAAGAGCTGGCTTTGATCTGAATCCTGCCTCTGCTTTGTGTGGCCAGGGAGCCTGCAGGTGGGTGACAGGTGGGACGGGGCTACAGGTGGCCTAGTGTGAACCAGCAGAGTGGCGAGGTCAGGGTGGGCAGTGGCTAGGCTCCTCTTCCTCCTCCTCCTCTTTTTCTTTCGCCCCGTCCCCCCTCCCCATCTGTTGGGTGATGCCCAACCACCAGTTTTCAGTAGATGCCTGATTGTCTGATTGAGGGTACTGTAGGGATGAAAGAATAATATAAAAGAGCAATCAAGATATATCATGTACAAGTACAAACTTCCTTTGATGAATGTGATCATTATGCATATTTAAATTGTGCCAATAAAATTAATTTTAAAAAGAAAGAATAATATACAAAGAACAAGAAATAAAGAACAAAGAACAATAGTGTGTTACTTAGGGGTACGGGAATTGATCTTAGCTCTTTCCTGGCTAAGACCATGAGCTCAGGATTAGTCAGTACTTATGATTCTACAACATAGCAAGGGTCATAAAGGCAGATGTAAGGAATAGCAGAACTATTGCACTAAGAAGCCAGGTTTGTAGAAGGGGAGTAACTATGTATACTTGTGAAGGACACTCGATCATAGTTAATAAGCCACCTGTGCTATCTTACAGGTCATAGCTAACAAGCCACCTTTAGCTAACATTTGATCTTGGAGAATGGCAGTACAGAGTCATACTTCTTCAAGTGTGGTGTCATCTTGCTATTAGAGATGTTACAGTCTCAGTGATCATTGAGATCTCAATTGTTTCCATGGGCATAGGAAAGTCTGTCTCCATACACTAGCCAGTGGCTCATTTAGCAAATCACACTTGGTCTTGGAATGACTCATAATTTTAATCAATAGCCAAATTATAATCCAATTCAATAATATATATATATATATATTTTTTTTTTTGGTACTGGGGATCGAACTCAGGTCCTTGTGCTTGCATAGCAGGTGGCGAAACCACTGAGCTAAATCCCTGGCACAATTCAATAATATTTTAAAGCCCGCTCAGTGCAGATTCAAGCTGTCCTCCTGCACCCCTCCTTCTCCACACTGGGATGGAACCCAGGGCCTCATGGATGCTAGCCAAGTCCTTTAGCCCTGGGCTACACCCCAGCTCTGGCCTCTTGCTTCTGCCTCTTAACTTTGGCTTCTGACCAGCCCAGCCTTACAAGGAGGCCATCTCTTTTAAGAGTGCTGAGATTCCTCACCCTCCTGCCCTGCCTCGATTTCTGCTCTTGCCTGGGATCCCTGCTCCATTCAATTGCCATGTCCAGTAGCCCTGTGACCCTTCAGGTCCCTTCCAGCCATTGCTATTGTTAGAACTGAAGCCAGGGCTGCTGGTTGCAGCCTGTGCCCTGGGTAACTACTGTTTGACTAAGTTGCTTCTCCCTAATGTATTTTGGGGGGTTATAAACATAAGGAGTTGTAGAATGAGGACATTCATATGGAAGTCTGGGTGTTGGACTTTTATTGAACAATCATTAGGGCTGCAGCTGTGGGGCAGTCTTCCTGGAGGGTCTGATCAGCCCGAGTTATCAGATCACTGATTCAAGTCCTATTGCCACCACAGGCAGGGCACAGCCTTCCAGTTTGCAGCAGTCCCCACCACTCCCTGTCAATCACCCTGCCTCTGCCCCTGTTATATCTCCCTAACTCTCTAAGTACTTGAGGTTGTGACTTTGATGTAAACACTACCCTACGTAAAAGGGATTTGTGAAACATCAGAAATGCCCCTTAAATTTTTCTTGTTTTGGGCTGGGGATTTAGCTCAGTGGTTCTGCTGCCTGCCTTGAAAGTGCAAGGTCCCGAGTTCGATCCTCCATACCAAAAAAAGTAATATTTTTCTTGTTTCAGCCAGGTGTGGTGGCACACACCTGTAATCCCAGAACTCAGCAGGCTGAGGCAGGAGAATCGCCATGAGTTTGAGGCCAGCCTGGGCTACATAATGAGTTCAAGGCCAGCCTGAACTACATAGCACTACCCTGTTGCAAAAGAAAAAATTGTTTTGTTTTCAAATCATAAATTTAGTGAAATTTTTGTGAAAAGGTAAGTTCGTATGATTCAAAATTCAAAGGACACAAAAGAATATATTAAAAAAAAAATCTTCCACATGCCCTGATGCTCAGTCACCAAGTCCCTAAGGCCACCAGTTCCTGTGTAGTCTTCAGGGCTTGTAAAAAATATGTATATAATAAAAAAATTTGGGACTGAGTGTGTTGGTCAGTGGTAAGGCTCTTGCCTTGCAGGTGTGAGACCCTGGGTTTGATCACCAGCACTGCAAAAAACCCACATCTCCTGCCTTATCACATTAGTTGAATATTACTTTTAGGGAAAAAATAGAAAATACAAAGAGAAGTAAATGAAAAATTATCTGGCACTACCTTCCATAGCTAAGCTTTATTCCTTAGTGCTTTAATGCATGCACTTGCTAATTTTTCTTTATTTAAAAATTTTTATTTATTTATATTTTGAGACAGGGTCTTGCTATGTAGTTCAGGCTGGCCTTTCACTGTGTAGCCCAGGCTGGCCTCCAACTTACAATGATCCTCCTGCCTCAGCCTCCTGAATGCTGGGATTACAGGCATGCACCACCACACCTGGCCCAGTTTTTCTTTATTGATATGAATTTTGTTTGTTTGTTTGTTTTTATTTTTTCTGGCACTGGGCATTGAACTCAGGACCTTGAGCTTGCAAGGCAGTCTCGAGGCAGTCATGGTGCCACGGAGCTAAATCCCTGGCCTATTGGTATGGATTTTAATTGAAATAGCATCAGTATGTAAATATCTTATCTAAAACTCAGAAACTGATTGTAAATACCTTTCTCTGTCCATGTTTCTATCTTGCTGCTATGTTTTACAGCCACACAGTATTCCATTGGATGGGCAGGCCGTGATTGTCTTCATTGTTTCTACTTTTGGCTACTTGGACAGTTTTCAGTCCCATGCTATTTTTAACAGTGCTGCAGCAAACTGCAGTGAATATCCTTGTGCCTATGTCTTTGCTCACCTGTCTGCATATTTCCTGAGGAGACGCTCCTTAGACTTGGAATTAACAGGCTAAAGGACATGCCCACGCATG